CCTGAGAAGAGCCCGCCGTCGATATTTACCAAACTGCATCCGTACTTGGCCTCAGATTGTCTTGACATGCGCACGGCAATGGTCAAGAACAGAACGACGATCAGACCCAGCCGTGTCCCATGCGTGAACGTCGGAACGTCGTTTCCCAATGAGCCTGCCCGACCCATCCGAAAGTACATCCGCGGATGCTGGCCTGTGACCTGCTCCTGCGCGAACCACATTGTCAGGGAAGCCGCGTGTTACGATGGTTCTGGGCTGCCGTGGTCCAGTGCAGAAGCGGGGAGCTCTCCGTGACATTGAAATTCTGCCTTTACCCGTCTTTGGTAAATTCTGTTGTGCAAGGGGATCGCAGTCCTCAGGGGAGCTCATTGATCATTTGTCAAGCTCATCTCATTGATCGGCTTGCCGATGACGTCAAGGTCTAGAGTCGCCCCCGCGTAGTCATCATTCACCTGTCCGTCTTCATCCCTCCCCCTCCTTGCTCACTCCCATTCTCTCCCTCGTCCGCCTCCTCTCTCCTCCTCCCTCCTCGTCCCTCCTCGTCCCTCCTCATCCCTCCTGCGCCCTCCTCCTCCCTCTCCTCCCTTCTCCATTCTCCCTCCTCCCTCCTGCTCCCCCCCCCCAACTCCCATTTCTTCGCCCCCTCGTCTGCCTCCTCCCTCCTCCACCCTCCTGGTCCCCATCCTCCCTTCTCCTCCCCATCGTTGTCTCTCCCCCTCCCCTTCCTCCTCCGCTTTCTCCTCGTCCTCCCCGTCCTCCTCCTTCCACACCTCCACTTGCACCCTCTCTCCTCTTCCGCCTCCATCCGCCTGCGCCCGTCCCCATCCCCCTTCGTCCAATTCCCCCCCCTCCTCCTCAGCCGCTCTGCGCTTCGGGGCCGAGGTTTGCAGCTGTGTCTATTCAGGGGCGGCCCGCGTGCGTGTGGATCAGGGCGTTTTTCGACGAGGCCGCCCCGCCTGCTCTCGCGTTCACAATCAAACCAGGACGTGATCAAAGAGGCCCAAGGACACACAAAATAAATACACACAAATCCCAGGATTCCCCATATTTTCAAATATGTTCTTGGTTTTCGTATTCCCCCCACTTCCCATATGTTCCACATTTTCCTAGGAATCGACGATTAATTGTGTCTGTGTGTTTGTCCCCCTCCCGAGTGATAGAGGTGCCGTGGTGGCAAAAGGTAGCGCTGCAGCGTCTCGTCATGCTCTCCAGCCTGGTCCCCAGTGGTGGTTCCCCACAGCCCAGCCACCTGGCGGCCCCAACTCGAGTGGTCGCTTTGGGCCTGTTCGCGCTGTTCCCGTCGCAGGCAGCCTGTGCACGCTCTCTTTTCCTCGAGCACGGCGGAGCCCCACGGTCAGATTCTTCGACAGGCTGGCGCCCATGAATGCAACTAGCCTGGTACCGGCAATGTCCTGGCTATTTCGCTGGATTGGTCAACCGGAAGTCTGGTGGAAAACTGGGGAACTAGCAACAATCAGTAGGAACAAAATCCTCTGCGGCCTGCGGCACCGTTTTGAGCGAAGTGTCACATTGGATTCGCTGATGCAGACGTGGGAGACGGATGGCGGTCCCACCCCTGCCAAGGTACTGTTCTGCCTTGGCGGCCACGGGGACCCATAAACCAGTGGTGCCGATCGCGGAGAGAGCGTGATCCACCGCCGCTTTACTCTGGAAAATTGCCTACCTTTTCCTCCGGAACCCGGGGGTCGCCCCCCCTCCCCCCCCTCCGAAAATCCCCCCCCCCCTGCTGGAACCCTCCCCCCCCCCCCTCTCCCCCGGCAAAACCCCCCCCTCACCTAACCCCTCCCCCCCCCCCCCTCCCGCTCGAAAACCGGGGGGGGTCACTACCGGTTCGAACCCCTCCCCCCCCCCCCCCCCCTCCGGATCCGGAAAACCGGGGGGGGTCACTACCAGTTCGAACCCCTTCCCCCCCCCCCCCTTCCGGATCCGGAAAACCGGAGGGGGTCACTACCGGTTCGAACCCCCCCCCCCCCCCTTACTCACCGCCAGCAAACGACTCCCGGTCCCCACCACCGTCCGCATCACATCCCCCACTGGTGTTCCCAGCACCACTGTCCTCACCACCGCTGTCCCCACTGGTTCCACCACCGCCCCTACTGTCCCCACCAGTGGCCCCACCACTGTCGCACTGTCCCCGCTGTCCCCAGAACTGTTCCCACCACGGTTCCACTCTCCCCACTGTCTCCACGGCCCCAACCACTGCCCGACTATCCCCACTGTCCCCACTGTCCCACTGACTCCTCCGCTGTCCCACTGAGCTGTCCCACTGTTCCCACCACTGTCCCCACTGTCCCCACCACTGTCCCCACTGTACCTCTGTCCCATTGTCCCACCGCCGTCCTCGCCACCGCCTTCACCACTGTCCCACCACCATTGTACCCTCCACTGTCCCACTGTTTCCACCTCATTCCCATTGTCCCCACACCACTGTCCCCACCACCACCGTCACCACCACTGTCCACTGTCCCCCCCTGTTCCCACCATTGTCCCCACCACTGTCCCCACCACTACCGTCCCCACCACTGTCCCACTGTCCCACTGTCCCCACCACTGTCCCGCTATCCCCTCACCACTGTCCCCACCAACACCGTCCCCACCACTGTCCGCACCCCCACTCGGTTTTCGAGGGGGGGGGGGGTTCGAACCGGTAGTGACCCCCCCCGGTTTTCGAGGGGGAGGGGGGGGAGGGGTTCGAACCGGTAGTGACCCCCCCCCCTTTTCATGATGAGCTGGGGGGGGGAGGGGTTCGAACCGGTAGTGACCCCCCCCGGTTTTCCGGAGGGGGGGGGGGAGGGGTTCGAACCGGTAGTGACCCCCCCCGGTTTTCCGCCAGCAGCGGTAGAACACGCTCTTTCCGATTGCGGGAAAGGCCAAGACGGCCTTCCAGTCTCCCCGCACGGCAGAACAGGAACTTATCAAGGCGGCACTCTCTTCAGCAATTTGGTGGTCGCCGCATTCGGCGGCTACGCGAAGGCCGAGGAGGCTCATTAGGTTCGCGTGGTGGAGCTTCGCTCGCTGGTGGCCCCGTCGACGTCTGCGCAGCCCCCAGGAGCTACTATTTCCTTGCGTGACACTCTGGACGGCAAGGCAGAGAATTGCATCACGTAGCGCCACACCGTTGCGGATAAAACTGAGGGGGCGGCGGGGACGTCGGCAGTCCGCCAGGCTCTGAAGAAGGCCGCCGCAAACGCTTGACTTATACCAATTGTATATAGAGCTCGCCGCAGATGCGGGTTTTCTCGTTTAAGCAATGCGGGTGGGTCGCGGGTGAGTCGCCGGCCGGATCGCGGGTCTGTAGCGGGTGGGTCGAGGGGTGGGTCGCGGGGTGGGTCGCGGGTGGGTCGCTGGGTGGGTCGGGGGTGGGTTGCGGGCGAGTCGCGGGTAGGTCGCAAGTGGGTCGCGGGTGGGTTGCGGGTGGGTCGCGGGCGGGTCGCGGGTGGGACGACGACAACAAACAACAACCAACAAGCAATGCAGCAACAACAACAACAACAACAGTCACAATTTGCACCGCTGAGCCTCACTTCAGCCAAGCGCCCAAGGACCATGATTGACCGTTCGGTCCCCTCAGTCTGATCATTGCTGGCTTGTTCAAGCAGCTGGACAGTTCAGACTCCAAGCCTTCTGGAGCTGGCGAGAAGCGACCGTCCGACCCCTTGCCACAACTCGCGTTGATCTCGAGAAGGCCACCAGCAATTTCATCGCGACAGCGGCAGCCACGGCCGAGCGAGTCAATGCAGGGCACGACGCCGTGGTGGCCCGCCTGGCCACCAGTCGTCGCCGAGGAAAGGGCGCTGCACACACTGCCCTGGCCAATCGCGAGGCTGCCGCGGCAGCGCCTGCCGCCAAGCCGGCCGCTGACTCCAGCCACGCCCAGTTCGGAGGCTCCCAGTCAGGCCCCATGCTTCTGGGCAGGAGCAGCGCTTTGCGTGCGCGTGTCTCTAAGATCCTGTCGCTCGCTGGGCCCAGGGATCCGCGGTACGCCGCGCCTTTCGTCAGCAGAGCCACTCCAGATGGCGCTGAATCGGCTGCTCGGTTTGTCGAAACCTGCAGCGCGTCTCCAAACGAAAGTCGTCGGGCAAAGGTTTGCTTTCCAGGGCCTCGGCCCACACACGCGCCTTGCAATAGGGCAGTGTTCTATCGGAGGAGAGCCTGGATCAAGCTTCTGCTTGGACTGAGGGCGAAACCGAAAAGCGCCCGATACCTGCTGATGCTGGTTGGACAAACGTCGCTATCGAATGCGTTGCGACTGTGCGCCGCTGTTGGCTTGATCTGCATCGGCTTCGTCGTTCCCAGGCAAGCTGGTCGATGCCCGCGACCGCTCTTGTTGCGTTCAAGGTGTGCAGGGTGGAAACGACACTTGTAGGCGATCCTGCATACCCGCGGCGACCAGAGTCTCGGGGTCGGCGGAGAGGCGCGAGCGCTGCGCCATGAATTTGCACAAGTTGCGCGGGCAGCCACGGATCCTGACCTCGAGCGTTGCAAAAATCATTTGTCTGGGCACGAGTGACCCATGCTGGGTCGAACGGATTGAAGCGAAATGGCTTGAGATGTGGCTGAGACAATATCTACGATGCATGACATGACCCGAGGTACCGTGAGGTGGGGAAGGCCTGGCCAAAAAAGACGGCAAACAGCATTTTGATGGACAGCCAAGACGAAGACGACTAAGACGACGACGACGAAGATGACGACGACGAGTGCGAAAGCGAAGACGACGAAGGTGAGTACGGAGGAGGGCATTCATGATGCCGGCGACAGCGAGAAGGATGTCAATGACGAAGAGATTCAGTCAAACTGCTACCATATCGAACGAATCCTCTGTTTGGCCCCAGACGTGCCCGGACGCACGAGGAGCGCCGGACGAGCTATCCATGGCAGGACTTCGGGAGCAGCGAGCCCCGCCGAACCCAAGCTGCTCTGGATCCCATCGCCTTGGCTGCAGATGGGCACTGGAGGCTCTGCGCCCGGGTCCGGTCCGAGGTGTCGGCGCCGCGGCCGTGGTTGTTCTTGTTCACTCCGAGCCACAGCGTTCGCGTGCCGTCCTCTGGGGCGTGCACCCAGGGGGGCAGCAGCGACTGGTGGGACGGGGAAGGAGAGGAGGAAGAGGGGGACGAGGGCAAGGAGGAGGAGGAGGGGGACAAACAGTAGGAGAAGGCCGCCCCCCCCCCCCCCTCCCTCGTCCTACACCCCTCCCTGTCCCACCCCCACACCACCCACCATCCTCAACGTTCCCATTATTCTCCGTGCCATCTTCTCCTCCCTGCCCCTGCACCTCTCTCCCACACCATCCCCAGTCCCATCCCCCAGCCCCGTCCTTCCAAGGCACCCCCCCGTGGGATCTCGTCCTCGGCGTTGTCCAGGAGGTAGCAGCCTTCGGGCCTCTTGGCGTCCTGCAGGCAGGTACCCCCCTTCTGTCCCCTTGCTGCTCTCCCAAAACCTTCTCCAAATTGTCATTCGGCTCGTGCTTCTGCTCCTCATCTTCTGCATCCTCTGAGCATTTCTCCTGCCTCCCATCCCCAGACCGTGGCCCCCCCTGTCAAGAGAAGCTGCGCCTCCAGCTTCCGCACGGCAGCTCATCTGGAGCATGCTGGGCCAACAAGCCTCCCCTCCCCTCCTTCCCTTGGCGGCGCGCACAACGGGGTGGGGGGAGGGGGAGGGCTCCTTAGAAGTACCCCTGCTTCTCAGAAGGCGCCGGCCTTGCATCTACAGATAAGGCCAGCGCCTTCTAAGAACCAGGGGTGCTTCTAAGAAGCCCTCCTCCTCCTCCTCCTCCTCCTCCTCCTCCTTCTCCCCCTCCCCCCACCTCCCTCTGCGCGTGGCTGATTCCTGGTCTCCCTTTCTCCCCTTCCCCCTCCCCTCGCCTCCGGCCTCCGCCGTTCGCCCTCCAGCACTTCATCAGATGCCAGGAGCCCCCAAACGGGGTGGTGACCACGCCGTGTGGTGAGCCGGTGGGGATTCGGGGTCGCCGCGCGGTTTTGGGACTCGGGTCGTTCTCCGAGGACGCCTCGGGCGACTGGGGCATCCGAGGTCCCGAAACCGTGCGTTGACGGACCGTGCGGTGAGGTCTTGGGGGATTTCGAGGTCACCGCACGGTCTGTCACCGCACCGCTCCAAAAGAATGAGGGGCCGTTGAGATAACACATGGCGGGTTCCGGAAACCCTGAAACCGAAGACGTGTTCATCTCTTGGGGGCGCATCTTTTACTTTCGCCGCCTTCCGCCGCCTTCCACCTGCCTTCCGCCGGCTTCCGCCGGCGGAGGCGGCCTCGTTTCACTTCCGCCGCCCTTCCGCCGCGGAAGAGAGATGCCAACTCCCTCTATCCTCGACGGCAAAGCCCTTTTTCGGAACGCCCGACATGCCAGTACGCAGGATGGAACGGAGTGTGCGGGGAGCAGGAGGAGGAGGAGGAGGAGGAGGAGGAGGAGGAGGAGGAGGAGGAAGAGAGGAGGAGGAGGACGACGAAGAGGAGAGGGAGGAGGAGGAGCAGGAGGAGAAGGAGGAGGAGGGGAGGAGGTGGCGGAGGAAGAGGATGAGGAGGAGGAGAGAGGAAGGCGGCGGAGGATGAAGCGGAGGAGCCCGGAGGAGGAGGAGGAGGCGGAGGAGGAGAGGGAAGAGAGAGGAGGAGGGGGGTGAGGAGGAGGAGGAGGAGGAGGAGGAGGAGGAGGAGGAGGAGGAGGAGGAGGAGGAGGGAGGATGAGGAGAGGAACGAGGGAGGAGGAGGGAGGAGGAGGAGGAGGAGGAGGAGGAGGAGGAGGAGGAGGAGCGGCGGCAGGACGCCAGCGCTGTCGTGACCCGCCCTCCTCTGGCGCCCCTCCCACCCTCTGCCCCTCCTCGATGGGCCTGCTTTCACCACACCGCCATAAGTTGGAGGGGGGGAAGAGGAGGAGGAGGAGGAGGAGGAGGAGGAGGAAGGAGGAGGAGGAGGAGGAGGAGGAGGAGGAGGAGGAGGAGGAGGAGGAGGAGGAGGAGGAGGAGGAGGAGGAGGAGGAGGCGAGGAGAGGAGGATAGGAGGAGGAGGAGAGCAGAGGAGGAGGAGGAGGAGGGCAGGAGCAGGTAAGCGCAGGGCAGGAGAGGAGGAGGAGGAGGAGGAGGAGGAGGAGAGGAGGAGGAGGGGGAGAGGAGGAGGAGGGAGGAGGAGGAGGAGGAGGGAGCAGGGCAGGAGGGGAGGAGGAGCAGGAGGGGAGGAGAGGGTAGCAGGAGCAGGAGACTAGGGAGGAGGAGGAGGAGGGAGGCCGGAGAGGAGGAGGAAGCAGCAGGAGCAGGAGCAGGAACAGGAGCAGGAGAGGAGGAGAGGAAGGGGAGGAGGAGGAGAGAGGACGAGGAGGGGGGAGGAGGATGAGGAGGAGGAGGAGGAGGAGGCGGAGGACCCCCCCTCCAACTTATGGTGGTGGTGGTGGTGTGGTGGTGGTTGTGGTGGTGGTGGTGGAAAACAAGCCCACCAGCTCCTCCCCTCGGTCGGCGAGGGCGGGGCGCGCGGGAGCCTTGGTCACTCGGAGGCGGTGATCCGCGAGCCGTAGCTCACGGGACAGCGCCCGCGCGGCGTCCTGCGGGCAAGCGCCGCCCGGCCCCTCCTCGGGGTCCACGTCACCCTGCTGCTCCTCTCCCTGCCCCACATCGCCCTCCTCTCTCAGCAGGTTGGCCCCTCTGCCCCTCCCAAATCCAAGCTCCTCCTCCTCCTCCTCCTTGCCCCCCTGCCCCCTCGTCCTCTTTTGCAGCTAGTGGCTCTCCTACTCCTCCCTCCTTCTTCCCCTTCCCCCCCACCCCACCCCGCAACCCAAGTCCAACTGCTCCTCCTCCCCCATCATTTCCTTTGTGCTCCCCTTCGCTCCGCTTCTCCTCCTCGTCAACCTACGCCTGGCCGCACTCCTCGTCGTCCTGTTCATCATCAGACTCTAAGAGAAAGAAAAGCGGCATAAACATACACTTTCGACGGTCCGTGCTGATTTCTTGGATCGGTGTTGGACCCCCTCCCTGGCGCGCGGAGCGCGCCAGGGGCGGCGCCGGGTCCTTAGCGCCGACCCAAGAAATCCGCGCGGACCGTCAACAGTGTATGTGTATGCAATTTTTGCCTTTCTTCCAGACTCCCTACCCCCCCTCTTCCTTCGCCTCCTTTCCCGCGGCCGCTGCCTGGCCTCGCAGTCGGCCGGGTGGACGATCGGGCCCCAGCCGTCCCCCAGGCTGGCGCAGTTGCCCTCCCAGATCAGTCTGTACCGCTGTCGGTCGGAGAGGCCTCGCAGAACGAGGAGGAGGAGGAGGAGGAGGAGTAGGAGCAGGAGGAGGAGGAGGAGGAGCAGGAGGAGGAGCAGGAGGAGCGGGAGGAGGAGGGGTTCAGTCTCGAGCCCTTCAAGACCGATCCCCGGCTTCTGGAGAAGATTTCTGGCTCGAGCTGAGGCACGATGGACTTTGCTGCACCTCCCCTTTCGTCCTTCCGCCGTTCGGCAGCCATGCTGCTGCCAGCACCGCCCGAAATAAGAGGCGGTCGCTGCTGCCGCCAGCGCGGCGGAGGCGAGAGGGGAACGTCCGAGCGGGACCCAGGACCCGAGGCAGGGGAGAGAGGCGCAGAGGGGAGGGGCAGAGCCCCGCGCGGGGTGGCCACGACGTGGTCCCGCCAAAACCTCGGCAGCAAGGAGATGAATGCTGATGATGATGCTGCTGCTGCTGATGATGTTGTTGATGATGATGATGTTGATGCTGCTGATGACGATGATAATGATAATGATAATGATGATGATGATGATGATGATGATGATGATGATGATGATGATGATGATGATGATGATGATGATGATGATGATGATGATGATGATGATGATGATGATGATGATGTAGATGATGTAGATGATGATGATGATGATGATGATGATGATGATGATGATGATGATGATGATGATGATGATGATGATGATGATGATGAGGATGAGGAGGAAGATACATACACCGGGGGAGGAGAGAGGGAGAGAGGGAGAGAGTGGGAGAGAACGAGAATGAGAGAGAGAGAGAGTGAGAGAGAAGTAGGGAGGGAGGGAGAAAGGGAAAGAGAGAGAGAGAGAGGGAGAGAGAACAACAACACATAGGGATATATAGGGTTACATACACACATATGTAGAGAGAGGGAGAGAAAGAGAGAGAGATAGAGAGAACACAAAAGAGAGAGAGAGAGAGAGAGAGAGAGAGCGGGAGACCGCAGCACTTCGGGCGACGCGTGCGTCCGCGGTCGGGGCTACGAGCGCCCTCTGCCCGGGGTGGCGCGCGGAGGCTTCCCCCCCTGGCGGGGTCCGCGCAGGACTGCGACTGGAAAGCCGAGGGGGGCGTGGCGGTTCGGGAGCGGCACTCCCGGTCTCGCAACCCCGTGCGAAAACCAACCGGTGTTTTCTACACGCACACACCTCCCCCCCCCCCATTTCAACGTTCAATGCGGTGCCAAGTTGTGTTGTCTGAACTTCGCCTGTCGCACGATCAACATTGTAATGGGGGGGCTGGGGGGCTCACTGAACACCAGTTGCTTTTTGCACGGGATTGTAGGTCGGGCATGCCCCTCCACAGGCGGATTTTGGAGGAAATATTAAAGGTACTCCCAAAAATCTTCAAAAACAGTTCAAAAACTTTGGAAGACTCCTCCTGTAGAGGGACAGGCCCGACTGAATCCCGATCTGCGCGCCCAAGACGGCAACACGAAGAGAAGACCCAGGTTTAGGTCGGACATGTCCCCCTGCAGGCGGTTTTTGGGCGACAAATGAACAATTGCGAAAACAATGCCCCCCAATGCTCGAAAATACTTCAAACAAATCTTCCCCAGATTATTTTAAAACTAGTTCTAAAGATTCCTCCTGTAGAGGGACGTGCCCGACGTGAATCGGGGGCGCGCAAACATGGATAAGCGATCCATGCATTTGGCGCGCGGTCGCCTAATCCATGGTATCGGGGGGGTGCCCTCCCCAAAATGCGGCTGGTGCAGCCTCGTTCGGCGGTGGAAGTCCGCGATTTCCCATGGAAGCGGGACCCGTCGCTAATCCACGCCCCCTTGATCCATGTTTGCGATCGCCTGAGGATAGGCTCGGGACGTGGACGCTCGTCGGTGGTTCAAAGATGGGGTCCTCAGGGATGGGGTCCTCAGGACGAGGTGCCTCAAACAGTGTGAACCCACGCTTGAACCCCTCCCTATCCTTAGGACTCCATCCCTCGGGACCCCACCTCTGATCCACCGCGCATGGGGAGCCATGTTTGCGATCGCCCGACTCAATTAAGCCCAGGTGAAGCACGCTGCGGCAGGCGTGCCTCTGGGCTCCCTGCACAGGAGAAGGGGGCTCCGCGGAAAAGGGGGCCCCCCACCGCCACCCGAGGCGTGGCCCGCGTCTGAGCGGTTTGGCCAGACCGCCCACGCGGGATGCTGGTCGAAGGGGGCCCGGGTTAGGTCGGGCATGTCCCCCTGCATGCGGATGTTGGAGGAAATATCATACACCAAAAATCCGCCAGCTCCCGTGTGGGGCCACCAGGCTGTAGGCTGAGGGTTTGCTGTTCCCTGCGCCAGTTCTAGTTTCCAGTTTCCACTGTTACAGTTCTGCTTCTTGTTGCTTACTGTTCCGTGTTGTAGACCGCGCGAGGGGGGGAGCCGAAAACCGCCCTGGTTAGCACCTCCCGGGAGGAGGCTGCAAATTTCTAGGGGGGAAGCGAAATTGCAGATCGGCGGGTCAGAGTCCAAAAACACATGGGATGTGCCACGTTTCTGAAATTCGGTGGCACTCCTCACGCAGATCGGCGGGGTCAGGGCCGAAAAACTAATGGGATTTGCCACATTTCTGAAATTCGGTGGCACCCCTCACGCAGATCGGCGGGGTCAGGGTCGAAAAACACATGGAATTAGCCACATTTCTGAAATTCGGCGGCACCCCTCACGCAGATCAGCAGGGTCAGGATCGAAAAACCAATAGGATTTGCCACATGTCCGAAATTCTGCGGGAAACCTCAGTGCACAGCATACGGGGGCAGGTTCAAAATGCAACACTGAGTTCAACAATATCATCAGAATCTCAATTTCTCTTACCGATGCTTCTTCACGGCGGCGCCGAGGCCTCATGATTTAGCTCTTGCGTAGCCCATTATCCGAGAGAGGGGGCCGGCGGCAGGGGGCGAAGCCCTTACGGATGCCAAAAACAGCCCAAATAATTTTGAATACTCCTCCCGTAGAGGGACAGGCCCGACGTAATCCCAATCTGTGCGCCCAAGACGGCAACGCGAAGAGAAAACCCAGGCGAAGCACGCTTCGGCCAGCGTGCCTCCGGGTCCCTGCAGAAGAGAGGTTCCACGCAGGGGCGCCATCCCCCACCGCAACCCGAGGCGTGGTTCGCGCGAGCGATCTGCTAGGAACAGGCAGGGACCGACCGTCCCGGCATTCCTATAACTAGGCCTAAACGACATGTTCTTAGAACCCAGAAGTGTTCTAAGCACAAAATATGTAAACAAGACAGTCCGAGTAAGAAATGTTCTAAAAGCATTTCGTGAAAACCACAGTTCTCAAAAGGTAGGCCTATGGGCAAGCCAGGACGATTCGCTACTGCTTGACAGACCACTCACGCGGGTTGCTGGCCGAAGGGGGCCGGGGCGAAAACAAGCGCAAACGTTGGAGGCCTGGGGAAAGAAAAACACCAACACCAACACAGGGGGGGTGCCTCCACCAGGAGAAGATGGCCTGCAGGATCGGGATCACCTTCCCACGGCGGAGGCACACCGCCGATCTCGGTGGCGGTGTCAACCGCTGGGCCTCCGGAAACGGCCTCACCAAGCGGGGGGTGCAAGGGTTAGGTCGGGCGTGTCCCCCTACAGGCGGATTTTGGGCGAGAAATCAAAAATAGCCCCCAAACAAAAATACCCCCAACATAGCCAAACAAATCAACGAATAATCCCCAGACTTTATTTTTTGACTGGGGCAGGCCCGACTTCATGCAAGGGCCTCCCCTCGCGCGCCCCGAAGGCCGAGGAACCGGTGACGGTGTAGGCACGGCCACCCCCAGCCCCGCATGGCCCGCAAGCCGACCGCGCCCGGAGGCAGCACCGGCAAGGGGCCAGGGAGACGGCGACAACCCGGGTCATTCGGGGTGGGGAGGAGGGGGCCAACCGATCACCTGACCTTTGCGCTATGGGCAGCCCTGCAAGTGCCCGCACCCCCCCCCACCCCGGACCTGCACACTGGCAAGGTTCGGTCACCCTGGGGGGGGGGGAGGGGCAAGCCCGATGACCCGGGTTATCGCTGGACCCCCCCAAAAAAGGTCTCCAGGGAGGAGGGGGTTTACACCCCCTCGGCGGCGGGGGGGGGGGGGGCGCTTTGCGGCTGAGAAGGTGAGAAGCGAGAGCGACAGGGCGGGCGCCTGGGTGCAAGGGCTCATACATAAGGCGAGAAGGCGAGGACGACCCGGTGGGTGGTCCGACAAGGGGCCCAGGCGGCGGACGCACGAGGCGAAGGAGTGGGCAGTGCACTTGGTGGCACGCGCCCGCTGGGGGCAGCGGGGAGCAGACAAGACGGGCACGATGGACGACGGTGGACACGACAGCGACATGGGACAACATGCGGGCATGGGGCTGGCGCCCCGAGAGGCACCAGAGCTGTCGGTCAGTCGTCAGACGGCGTCGGAATACAGGGCCGGACGAGGTCGTCGCCATCGAGCTATGTCGGGCCCCTGCGCCGATTGAAAGCGTCAAGCCAGGACAGGCGTCGGTCGCAGGCGCCGTCGGCTACCGTGGTGCGGCGTCGGAGGAAGGCGACCCTGACCATCGCGCCCGTTGCGCCGTGGGTGGTGCCCAGGGTGTCAGGGCAGGTGGTGAAGGCGGAGGAGCCGCATGCGATTGCCAGTCGCATGGAGCGGGCGGGACGCGCGGCAGGGGTCGCAGCACTCGCGCGCGAAGCCCGAGGCACGGAGCCGCTGCCGGGGGGGGATCGGGCCAGGGGACGTCCGATCCGAAGCCCACGGAGTCCGAGGGCGGGTCGGAGGTCAGTAACTGAAGGGGGGTGAATCAGGTGGTTGGGCGGCAAAAGCGCCCAGAGTGGGATGGTCCAACGGCCGGGTGAGGACGGAGACCGTCGGGGGCCGAAGGGAGCCGCAGAGGGCCTCTGGGCTGGCGGACGGCGGGATCGCCGTCGCCTGCAGGACGGCCCAGTCAAGACAGCGGGCGCCAGGTGCGTCCCTCTGATGGCCTCCTCCTTTTACTCCTCCTCCTCCTCCTCCTCCTCCTCTCCTCCTCCTCCTCCTCCTCCTCCTCCTTCTCCTCCCTCCTCCTCGTCCTCCTCCTCTTCTCATCTCTCCTATTCCTCCCTCCCCCTCCTCCTCCCCCTCCTCCCTCCTCCTCCTCCTCCTCCTCCTCCTCCTCCTCCTCCTCCTCCTCCTCCGCCTCCCCCGCCTCCCCCGCGTCCCGGACGGCAGCCAATGGGCCCCCGCGAGCTACGCGGCTAGTCCCGCCGGCTCGGAGGCGTGCCACGCCGAGGGGCGCTGGGAGGGCGGGAGTAGGGCCCGCGGCGGGTCGCGGGCCTCGTCGTTGCCCTTGCGGCAGCGCGCTGCGAAGTGGAGCAGCACGTGGAGGAGGGCGGTCAGATCTCGGACCGCGGTGGCCGGCCAGGCGAGCTCGCGAGGAGGATCCAAAGTGGGCCGCGCAGGAGGAGACGAAGGCCAACCTCCTCGCGGCACGGGACGAGGAAGAGAGTGCGAGTGAAAGCCTAGGGGTCTGGCTGTCGCGTGGGCCTGGCGGCCCTGCTGGGAGGTGCCAGTGGTGCTCGGGGGCCGCTCCGAGGGAGGGCCGCGAGGAGCCACGGCGGGGGGGGCGCCGGCCCGTGGCTGCCTGGTCGTCGGGCCTCAGCGTCGGGCGGCCGACGAACGGTCGGCGGGCGTCGGCGGCGGGCGTCGGCGCGCTGCCGTCTGAGCAGTCGGCGGGCGGGCGGCGGGCGGGCGGCGGACGGTCGTCGTCGGTCGTCGGACGCTGGTCTGACGGTCGGCGTCGGCGGGCTCGTCGTAGTCGTCGGCTGTCGTCGCCGCTCCGGTGTCCATGAGCCTGGCTGGCCTCGGGGGGGGCAGGATCGGCACCCGCAGGGGCCGGCGTGGCAGGAGCGGAGAGGGCCGCGGCGGAGCGTTGCCGGTCAAGTGGAGGCGCTGCGGGGTGGGGCAGGGCAGGAGGAGGAGGAGGAGGAGGAGGAGGAGGAGGAGGAGGAGGAGGAGGAAGAGGCCTCTCCGGGCCTTCTTGAGAGTCCTTTTGGCCCCGCCTGACATGCCTGGTCGCGGCGAGGCGTTGGAAACTGGTGGTGGCGGCGCGACAGCCGGGGGTCGCAGCGCCGGGCGCGCAGCTGAGGTGGTCACGAGCGTCCGCCGCGTGCTCGGGAAGGGGCGGCGTGTGCGGGTGCTGTTGCGGGATGCGTGGCAATGCTGATTGAGGCACTGGCGTTGGTGCAGTCGCAGTGTCCGCCCCCTCGGCCTCCTTGGAGGGCTCCTTCCCCAAGCTGGCCGTGCGATGGTGGGCAGTTTCCTGTGGTCAGCAGGACCACCCCATACTGGTTTTGATCCTCCGCGTGGCCGATGACAGTACCGTGGTGGCCGTTGATCGGGTTGCGCACCTGGCTGATGACCGTCACCCTGGTGCCTTCATGGATACAGTAGGGGCCCGACCACAAGAAACCTTCCACGAGAGACCCATCCCTGAGACCCCAGGACGTCCATCGGCTCTTGGTCTGAGAACGTCACGCTCTCCATCGCAGAGCCATCGGCACCCAGGAAACCCAGGGCACCCTGGAGGCAAGCAGGGTGTCTCGTGGCGTGGGCCTCCACTGTAGGGGGCGAGGCCGGTGTCGGTCGGGCAGGGCGTCCGCCCAGTTGGGCGGTGCGCAGGGCCTGGTGGGCCCCGGCACGGCCCCGCGGGCGGCCAGGCGTGCTGCGGAGCGAGGGCCGTCGGTGTCCGCCTCGGCGTGCGGCACTCGGTGCACGCGAGCCGCGGGCCTGGTGGCTGCCGAGGGTGCCTCGGCGAGACCCTGGGCGCGGCGCAGCACGAACCGCGGGGGTGACGCTCGCAGCGGAGCCCACGTGGCCAACTGGAGGGCCACCATCGCGGATGTTGGCGAGGTCCGCGTCTGGGGGGGCGGTGGTGGTGCCGCTCGTCGGGGAGCCGCTCTGAGAATGCACGGTGATGGCTCCGAGATGGTACTCCGGGCGTCGGTGGGTAAGCTATCGGTCAGCTTGCGCGCTCGCTCGCTGGTGGGGGTCGGGGCCGAAGGCTCCGCAACAGTTGCAGCGCGTGGCCGGAGAAGCGGGGGCGGCCCGAAGCGGCTGCAGCTTGCCTGCTGGTCAGGTGCGGTCGGGGTGTGCCGTGGCAGCTGGCGCCGCAGGGAGTCGGGCGTCGGTCGGTCGGTCGCAGACGAGCGTCGGACGTCGTCGTCGGGCGTCGGGCGGCCAGCGGTCGGTCTTCGGTAGTCGGGGGACTGACGCGGCGGGCTAGTTAGTTGAAGGCGAGGCGCTGGGCGTGACAACCGAAGCAACGGGCGCGAAGCCCAGCGCGTGGCGCCCAGCCGCCCTCCGGAGTCGGGCACGTCGGGGCGCCGAAGCGGCAGTCCACGTAGTGGCCACCACTCCGGTCGAAGCTGGAGCGGCGGCGCATGGCATGGCGGCGCGCAGGAGCGACTGGAAATGAACATGGAAATGACACGAACCGGTCCCGTGCCACGTGGCACGGTTCTGGTCTCACTGGGCTGAAGGACGCAAAAGGTTTCGCGTCCTGGCTACGCTCTGGGTCAGGGACCCTCGAGCCGCGACTGGAGAGAGGGAGCTGGAAAGAGGAAGAGCGAGAGCGACAGAAAAGAGAGAGAGAGAGATAGAAAGAGAAAGAGAGAGAGAGAGAACAAAAAAAAAACAAGGAGAAGGAAAGGGAGACGCCGTGGGAGGAGGGGATAGCTTTCTTTTCATGAGCGCGGAAGGCATCCCTCTCTGAGCAGGTAGTTACGCTATGAGCCAGTCCGCCACAATTCCCCACCAGCTTTCTGGGTACAGGTGGTCTAAGAACTAAGAATGTCCTCTTTTCAAAAACACCCCCTCCTCTCCCCGCGAGGTAGGGTTTACCCTTGCGCCTTTTCAGGGGGGGGGCTAGAGGGGGCTACAGAGGCTGGGGGGGGGGGCGCCTTAGAGGAGGGGGAGGAGGGGGGAGGAGGGAGGAGGAGGGGAGGAGGAGGAGGAGGAGGAGAGGAGGAGGAGGGGGAGAGGAAGGACGACGAAGAGGAGGAGGAGGAGGAGGAGGCGGAGAAGGAGAGAGGAGGAGGAGGAGGAGAAGGAGGAGCGTGAGGAGCAGAAAAAGCTGGGTGGAAGCGCCATCTGCGGGGCCTCACATTCCCCCCGCGCCCCGGCAGGGGCCGCAGCGCCCCCGCGGGCAGCGCTCAGACGCGGCGCCCAGCAGCGCGCCACGGCGCCAGGCAGCGCGGCGCGCGGCCGTGGCGCCCGCGATGCCCAGCGGCCGCCGCGGGCCACGCCCGCGGCAGGGGGCCTCCTCCTCCTCGTCATCCTCCCTCATCCTCCTCCTCCTCCTCCTCCACCTCCTCCTCCGCCTCTCCTCCTCCTCCTCCTCCCTCCTCCTCCTCCTCCTCCTCCTCCTCCTCCTCCTCCTCCTCCTGTGCCTCCCTGCCTCCTGCCGCAGGCCCGCGTCAACCGACGCCGAGACGACAGCCATGGCTTGGCACTGGCAGGGTGTGCGCTCCCGCAGCGCGTGGAGCCGGCCCTCACCAACAAGGAGGGCCTCGGCCACGGTCTCGTGGATTTCACGGGGCCCACAACCTGTGGGCCGAGGCCGTTCGGGAGGCGCGGAAGGGCAGGCAAGCCCCAGCGCGCCACATGGCCCAAGCAAAGCTGGCGGAACAGGACAATATCCACAAGTGGAACAAGTGGTGACTGACACAAGCAGGGCATCCACAGCACGCCCGACCTGCATGCGCAGCTCTGGCAAAGGGGGGCACCGCGAAAGAGGGGGGCCCAGGGCGCCATCCAGGGCGCTGGCCCGACGAGGCCAGAGGACCCGAGGGGGGAGAACCCGGCAACAGCCAAAAGAACAGGAGAGCCCAACAACCGCAAGCTGACACACACACACACACACACACACACACGCACACGCACACGCACACGCACACGCACACGCACACGCACACACACAAAGCAAATAATCCGAAGCGCCGAACTGGAGCTACTGCTGCTCCTGCAACTGCATCAAGGCGAGGACTTCATCCCTGGCCTTGCGCATGGTGCCACCATCCCAGACGCTTGGGAGGGCCAGATTAAGGAGGCCCCCTGCACCGTCCAGGAGGCCGGGGCCAGGATGGCCACCTGCAGCGCACAGAAGGCCACCGATACCGAGAAGGCCACCAACACCTAGAAGACCGCCTCCGCCTCCACAGAGAAAGCCACCTGCACCGAGAAGGCCACCCACAGCGCCGAACACCGAGAAGGCCGCCTGTAGCGCCGAGAGGGCGGAGGACACCACCGAGGAGACTAAGAAGCTCACCCACATCGACGAGAAGCCCAAGGGGGCCAGCCACACCGTCGACGACGCCACCGTCCAGACTGCCCAGCCAGGGGTCCAAGCAAAGGCCGGCGTGACGAAGGCGATAGCTGGCTGGAGGCCCACCACGAGGACGCGCGGATCGCGGCTGTCGCCTTCATTGACGCAGACGATGTCCACATTAACATTCAACCCAACCCGGAGGACGACCGAAACATTCACCTCGTCAACGGCGAGACCACGAGCCCCAACATCAGAGAATTCCGTGTCGAACCCGCGAAGCGCACCTACATCCTCAACTGCTACGGCTGGCCGCTCAAGCCGTAGGCGGGCGCGGCTACCCTCGGGCACACCCCGCACAGCCTCTTCGCGCAGCCACTGGACGGGGAGGCCCTCCTGCGGCCACCAGCGCCACCACGGCGCCCACGCCTCCGGCAGACTGGCGGCCCTCGGGGGTGCTGGGCGGGGCCCGCGGCTGCAGCAGCGCCCCATGGCGGGGGCAGCGCCCCCCCCCCCCCCTCTCCTTGGGCCCAGCGCCCCAACCGGGGGCGCCAGGAGCCCGAGGGCTGCGCAGGAGCGATGCCCTCCTCCTGCCTCCATCCTCGGCCCGGGCGAAGGAGGGCGGGCTTTCTCCGGACAGAAGCCCGGCCGCGCCAGGCAGGCCGCGCCATGGGGGTGCGCGGCCGCTCGCAGCGTGGACAAAAAGTGCCCAGGCAAGTATCGCGAGACTCGCTTCGACATTCTCTCATTCGTCCCCGACTTGTCCAGAGGTATGTCGATCGAGGACGAGTCTTACGAAACAGGAGGGCGGGAGGAGCTGGAAGGGGGGGGAAGGGCGTGGAGGAGACGACCCGCGGCGGGGAGCGCGCCTGACCACCAGGGGAAACCCCGTGCACGCAAAAAAGCCCACTCTGCACCCCCCCCCCCCCCCCCCCTCCCTCTCTTCCCATCCCCCCGCCGTCCTTCGGTCTCCGCTTTGCCCTCCCCCCCCCCTCCCTCCTCGGGGGGGGGGGGCAGTGTCGGCCGTTCTGTGTATGGGGAGGCCCCTTCCCCTCCCCCTCCCGCCTTCCTCCGTCGTGCTTCGGCCCGGGCCCCGCTAGTCCTTCCCCTTTCGGCCCCTCACCTTCCTGCCTTTGTCGGCCCCCGCCCGCCGCCGCTGGGCGCCCACATGCGCCGCGTCCTGCCTGTCCTTGCAGCGCGCCCTAGCTTTTGCACACACACACACACACACACCGCAGGGGCAGCGGCCCCTGAGGGGGGAGGGAAGGCTGCGTCGGATGACCTGAGAGCCACCAGCACCCAGGTGGATGGACTGGCAGGGGGGCGCAGATGAGCTGGAGACGGAGCAGCAGAGACAGGGGGGCGCCGAGCCGAGGAGGAGACGTGGACCCGGATTCGGACTCGGGAGGGCCTGCGAACCAAGTCACTGGAGCTGCTGGGGGAGCAGGAGCGCGCACTAGGTGCGAGCGGCACTCCCTCCTCTTCTACGTCACCTGCAGGGGCATGCACGGGCAGGAGGGCAAGCAACTGGAGCTACTGGGGGGGCAAGACCGCACACGACGCACGAGCGACACTCCCTCCTCTCCTTGGTGATCTGGAGGGGCATGCAGGGGGCGAGGGCGCGAAGGAGGAGGAGGAGGAGGAGGAGGAGGAGGAGGAGGAGGAGGAGGAGGAGGAGAGAGGAGGAGGAGGAGGAGGAGGAGGGAGGAGGAGGCGGAGGAGGAGGAGGCGGAGGAGGAGAAGAGGAGGAGGAGGAGGAGGGGGGGCGGGGGGGGGGGGGGGGGCAAGAGGCGGAGGAGGAGGAGGCGGAGGAGGAGGAGGAGGAGGAGGAGGAGGAGGAGGAGGGGGCATGCATCTGGAGGGGCGAGGGCGCGGAGGAGGGGGGGGCGGGGGGGGGCGGCAAGGGGGCGAGAAGGGCCTACGAGGACCTCGCCGCGGGTCTGGGCGGCGGCGCGCCAAGAGCTGGCGCCTCGGCGGGGGGCGACCCACCCCCCACTCCACCCTCCTCCTCCTCCTCCTCCTCCTCCTCATCTTCTCCTCCTCCTCCTGATCTCCTCCTCCTCCTCATCAGCATCATCACCACCATCATCAGCAGCAGCATCATCATCTCCGTCTTCCGTCCTCCGTCCTCCTCCTCCTGCTTCCTTATCCTGCTCCGCCCTTCCCTCCACACCTCCATGCTCCCCTCTGATAGTCCGCAGGGAGTAGAGAGGGGAATACGAATCTACGCATTATTGCGTGCTCCCTCTCATTGTGCTGTCTCCCCCGCACATCCCCCCTCCGTCTTTCATCTTCCCTTCTACCTCCCTCCTCCCACCTGCTGCTATCCTCATCCCTATTCGTCTCGCTCTCTTCTACCATCATCCCTCCATCGACACTGGCCCCCTATTGCGTCTCTTCCACTGTCCTCCTCACTCTTCTCCTCCTCTACTCCTCCTGCTGACCACACGATCCTACTCAATTGCCCCCTCCGCATATCCTTATCAATGCCATTCCCCCTCATCCTCTTACTCCTCCTTCTCCTCCTCCCCCATCCCTGATTCCCTCCCACCGCCCCCCTCTCCCTGTTCCCTCCCCGGCCTGCACCCTGTCCTTCTCACATTCCTCCTCATCCCTTTCCCTCCGCTCCACCTTTCCTCGGCTGCCGTCCTTCCCTGCATGTTCGTCCTCCTCCTCCGTACGGGCTCCGTCTTCCTTTATTCGGGGGCGCGCAAACATGGATGAGCGATCCATGGATTTGGCGCGCGGTCGCCAAGTCCATGGATCGGGGGAGGTGTCCTCCCCAAAATGCGGCCGGTGCCGCCTCGTTCGGCGGCTGAACTTCGCGATTTCCCATGGACGCGGGACCCGACGCCAATCCACGCCCCCTTGATCCATGTTTGCGTTCGCCTGATCTAGGGGAACGAAAACTGACATAAACATAAAAACTCGGAGGTCCGCGGGGATTTCTTGGATCTGCGCTGGACCCCCCTCCCTGGCGCGCGGAGCGCGCCAGGGGCGGCGCCGGAGGCGCCGCCAGGGGGGTCCAGCGCGGATCCGAGAAATCCGCGCGGACCTCCGAGTTTTATGTTTATGACATTTTCGATCCCCTATGATCTATCCCCTCCCTCCCTCCCCCTCCCTCCCCCTCCCTCTCATCTCTCCCGCCTCCTCGCTTTCGGGCCGTGCGCGGCCGGCCTGATGTGAACACTCCAAAGTGGAGCAGCACGCCGGCACCCAAAACACGCTCACACGCCTCAGAGAGAAACTCGAAACGCGCTTCAATTGGAAGAGGCACTTCTGCAACGAAAGAAGATTAGGCAACGGCCTCGTCTAAGCACACCCGTGCCAGCGCGATGGTGCTCGAAACGAAGTCCGGCCATTGCGTCTCAACAGTCCATGCCGCTGCTGAACAGCATGGGCAAGGACGCCCCGCATCGCAGCGGGCCGCCGAGTTTGCCTCGCTCAGGCGACAGTATGCTGGTATCTGGAAGTCCTCTCGCCAAGATTTCGCCATGGTGCATCCATTGTGAAGTTGGCGATAAAGCACCAACTTTCACAATTGAAGTCGCGTCGCTTCCGCACTACCGGGGCCAACTAGTTCTAGGAGGCTTCCAACGTCCATCGAATAACGAACCAATGCGCTTCCACACAACATCACCATGGCGTCAACAAATAACGAACCAATGCTGAGGCATATCATGACTAACGGGATGCCATTGCTAGCTAAGATATGTATGACCATGACCACGTCGACCAAACGTCATCAACCGGAAATTATAGCGAAACGCCTGGTCGGGGAATCACGAAAGAATGTGCTCCACGTCCAAGTCGCACTTCGTAAAACCAGCAGGCAATCAGTCGCCAGCTAGGTGCCTTCCAGCTCCTGCACTTGATCTTCCTGCTCCGTGTTCTCGTCCCTGCCCCTCCTCCTCCTCCTCCTCCTCCTCCTCCTCCTCCACCTCGTCCTCCTCCTCCTCCTCCACATCATCCACATCCTCCTCGCCCTCTTCCTCTTCCATTCCTCGCCCCCCATTGCTCCCCCTGCCACGAACTGGATGCCAATCCCCAAACCGGAATGACAGGCGGGGGGGGGGAAACTACAGATAGCACGACGGGCGGCGTCTCCTTCGTCCTCCTCCCCCTACAGTCAAACATTTGATTAAGAAATTATAAATTAAGAAAGCTGGGTCAGCTTTTCCGAGGTTTCTTAAGGAAACGCTGGGCCAGCTTTTGGAGCCAGGAACGTACACCATTCATTTCTAGGATCCAAGGCTACCATTCCCTTTAAGAAACTGAGCCAGCTTTCCGGCAAGTTGGTTAAGAAACGCTGGGCCAACTTTTCGGGAGGAGGCTTCTTAATCATAAGCGGGACTGTACTCCTCCTCACCCTGGTTCCTCTTTCTTCTGCCACTGCTACGTCTCGCTCCTCCTGATGCTGTTACGTATTCCCCCCTCTGACCTGGCGCTTCGCATTCTTATCCCGCTCTTGCTCATCTGGCTGCTCTTCCGCTGGCCATTGCCGCTGCTCTTTCTCCTCTGGCTGCTCGCACTGCTCAGCGTGATCCCAGATCCTGCTCCTGCATGGGGCTTTTGCGAAATCCAGCCCCACTCATGCACCGCAGCCACCAACCACCTAGAACAACTGCAAAGAAACACGTCGTGGGAGACGGGCGTTGACGTTGTGTGTGTGCGTGTGCGTGTGACACCCCTTTTAGTCCAATCGCCCAGATAGCAAACCACACACACACAGAGCGGAAGTAAGGAGAAGGGAGAGAAACGAGAAAGAGAGAGAGCACGAGAAAGAGAGAGAGAGAGAGAGAGAGCGGGAAGGAGAGAGACAGAAAGAAGACAAACGGACAATCGTGAACTTCTGTCTCAGTGGATTGTTTAGGGCCGTGGACTCCCGGCGCAGGAAATCCCGCAGCAAGAAGGGGCCCAGTCCGACGACTGGGGGGCGACCAGAAGAGTGGAGGCTGACGCGGGGGAACAAGATACAGCGGAGCAGGAGGATCAACCAGAACGGGAGGCTCGACGTATAGAATATAGAACGAGCCCCCCTCTCGGGCCGGACCAGAGGGGGGGGCTCGGACAGATGGGGGTTTAAGAATCTGCTCACGAGGCTGATCTCTCGGGCGCCACCGGGCGCCGGAAGCGCCAGTGGGACGAGGAACGCTCCTGGCGGCAGCCCAGAAACGAGCTGCAGGTGTCGTGACGTCCACGATGACAACGACGACGAAGACAACGACGACCTCGTCGTTTTTGTCGTCGTCGGGCATCCACTTCTGCCTACGGGCAGGAACTTTCGCATCGCGTTTCGCGGCGGCGGCCCCGGCGACACGCTGTTCCCTGCGAGCTAATGGCGTGTCGCTCCGCTCCGCGGGGGCGGGAGGCCGGGAAACACTCGGGGCGCTGACGCGTGGAGACCGCGACGCTGATGACGTGTCGCGCCGAGACGTCGTGGGCCACAACCGGCGGAGTCGCAACGCTGAGCCAAAAGTTCCCCACCAAATCCCCCCAGATCATCCATTTCCGAACACTTGCGGTAACGCTCTGAACGAACTGGTCGAGAACAAACTGGTCGCGAGGAATTCTGATCAGAGTGCTCATGTGTTCATGCAGCAGGTGTAGTGTTAGAACGAGCGGGCAGGACTAATAAGCAGAGGGGAGTAATAGAACCAATAGCGGCTCAATTCATCTAAAAGGTAAGCACACATCATTATGGTAACGCACTGGTAGAACCCACCCAATACGCACGTCTCCGTTTTTCGATACGTTCGGTAACTTCGTGAACGGCTTGAGCCAGAGTTCAACACTCGGGTAAAGTTCAGCATCAAAATATAGTCCAGCATTCAGGTAGAGATCTACACAATGGAGCAGATCTTGCAACTGCTTCAAGCGACGCTGGAACGTCTACAGTAGGACATCCGATTACTACGTCAACAGCTTGCGGCGGAGCAGGCCAAGACGCAGGGCATCGAGCGCCTTGCGACGTCGATTGACAAGATGGCTGCGAAGAGAGGATCGGCCTCCCTTGTGGACTCCAAGGGCATTGGCAAGCCCACTGTGTTTGGAGACGGGGACGAGAAGGTGCTAGAGAAGAAGTTCGGCGTGCGGCAGAGGAAGACCCAAGAACTTCATCGTGAGCGTGCACCCGTCTCCTGACGACCTGGTGGAGTGGGCCATGGAGACCAAGGAGACCATCACCAATAACACACTGTTGCAGGCTTTCGGCAGCGATGCGAATCCAGCCAACATCGACGAGGTCTTGGAGAAGTTCCACCAAGTGTACAGCATGTTGGTCCAGATCCCAGAGAGCGAGGCCAATGACGGGACCAACGGAATGGAAGCCTGGCTGAAGTCGAGCAGACGGTTCGACCCACTCACTGGGGGTGGGGTTTGTCGCCTACTTAGGCAGATCATCAACCCTGGGAGGGGCTCCATGGACGTTATTGCGGGCGGCCTGGAGCGGTGGGAGGAAATGGTGACGAAGTGCGACCGCTCCGAAACGTCCTGGGGAGGGGGGCCTGGGCCCTACCAGAGGACATCAGAATGGCTGCGCTCGAGAGCCCTCTCCCGCAGGAGCTGGAGACGAACCTGCAGCGGAACGCCACGAGGTTCGACACTTTCGCCGTCGGCGGCGAGGCTGAGGGAACCGCACCAGCGACCAGGCTAAACGGAGGCGCCTGTGTAGCGAATTGGCCAGCATGCGAAGTTCGATACGTACATGGGCATGAGGACCGAGACCGAACGTTACGTGGAGGCGCGGCTCGGCGCCAAGGCTCGTGGACCACAAGTTCAGCAGCACGGTCGTCATCGTGACCGTGGCAACGACATGGACGTGGACGTGGGATCGCTCGAGCGACAACCCAAAGGTAAGGATGGGAAGGGCAAGGCCGGTAAGAGTTTCAATGGCTACTGTAATAATTGCAGGGGCTGGGGCCATCGTAGCTCCGACTGCCGGAGAGCTCCCCAAGACTAGAAGAAGAAAAACCGCAACCGACGCCCCCTCTATTCTGTTGAGGAGGAAGGAGAGGAGCATGAACATGACCATGATCGCCGACGAGCTCACGAGACGGGGCATTTGAATTGTGTACCTTCGATCCGTTCCAAAGCACAGACATCACCAACGACGATATCGACGAGCAAGGCAATCCGAGGCGCTCTTCCACAGGAGACTGGCGTGACGACGAGGGTCGTCGTAACGGCGGGGACAGGCGCGACGATGGAGCTGGAGGTGGCCATAGCGCTTATCATCATCAGCAGCATCATCGTCAGCATCATCATCAACATCAGCAACATCATCACCATCATCTTACCATCATCATCATCAGCATCATCATCATCGCCATCATCAACATCATCATCAACATTAAACTCATCTCCATCATGTGGAGACGTATGTGACAATGCTCGTGGACACCACATACCGGGGCCACGTCAGACTATGGAGACGGATCAGGCGTGCGAGGTGGACGACACAGTGGAACTAGGTCCGACTATGGAGTCGGATCTGCCCAGTGGACCACATACAGAAGTTGCCGGAGGGAGATCAGGACAGACAAAGTCATTTTGGGCTTTTTCAATGGACGATGCACGTGACTCAGGACGCAAGCCACGTGTGGCAGAAGAGCTACACCGAACTTTTTGGCTAAAAAGGGATTAGGTTCCAGGGAAGACGGAGCTATTCTATAACCCATCTGATGGGTCGAGGCTCTCCGTCCACGGAGATGATTTCGTTGTCTTGGGTGAACAACGTTCAATTACGTGCACACATCAACGATTAGCACTGAGGCAGGTGACTCCCAAGATGCGTGCATCTTGAGCCGGGTTGTCCACATCGCGGAGGACGGCTTTGAGATGGAAGGAGACCGTAGACACGCAGAGCTTCTCGCACTAGACTTGGGTTCAGAAAAGGACATATAGGTGGATACGTCAGATGACAAACATTATGGGTCAGACGTATGAACGGGTGCAGAGAGCAGAGTGCTTTCGAGCTCTGAGGCGACGATGACTTGTTCCTGCGTCATGAGAGCCAGCTATCTTGGGCAAGACCACATGGACATCCAGGAGGCTGTGAAATGCCTTGCCCATGGCATCAAGATCCCAAACGAGTTCGACTTCCAAGAGCGGAAACGTCATGGGCGCTACGTACTTGGACGGCCCAGGCCTGTCTTGAAGCTTCCGAAGCAGGCGATGCAAACTCGCTAGATGCCTGGGTTGATGCAGACCACGCTGGGGACGTCATCACTAGGAAGAGCACCAGCGGGATGGCAACTGTTCTTCGGGAAGCACCTGCCCAAGAGCAGTTTGACTGTGCAGAGCGCGATTGCGGTGAACGTCGGCGAGGACGAGTACCACGCGGCAGTGAGAGGCAGTGCCCATGCATTGGGCAATAAGTCGCTGATGGCGGAGTGGTGACTGTCTTCTGCGATCCGCTTGAACGTGACAACGGACGGCGCGGCAGCGAAGGGACTCGCAACCCGCCGTGGGCTGGGCAGACAGAGGCATGTCAATACACGTTGTCTGTGGCTGCAAGATCGCGTGGCGAGCGGCGACGTTCGGATCGTGAAGCTTCGGACTACTGGGCGTATTGCCGACCCTCTGATGACGGCGATGGCCGTCGGCATGAGGGACCCTCTGGTTGCGACAGCCGGCTTGGTCTTCGACTCGAGCAGGGCCGTGACGCTGCCAGTAGGTCCTTGGCGTAGGTCCTTGGCCACCGTTCCGCTGCAAGTGTTATCTATACATATATATATATATATATATATATGTGATCTGATCTGGCATCACTTTGTTGCCTGGACCCGAGGCGGGGTGATCAGAAGGCTCAGATACTCATGCAGCAGTGGAATATTAGAACGGGGAGGCAAGATTCAGAAGCACAGGAAACAGTCGAAACCCTGCTGCTTGGTTCAGCCAAAAGGTCAGCAAATCTCATAAAAAAAATCCGGCAACGAGCGAGCCGTCGACATCATCAACACCCTCGCTCGGACCCCGACGCGCCGTCCCTTTGTCACCGAAAACTGGCCATCGCTCGGACGTCCACTCCGTGCTTTTTTCGGTTTCTTGCGTGGCTCTCTCGCCAAATGGTCAAGAATGCTCCTCGATGGCCCCCGCCGAAGGAAAAACGCACACGTCCGAGCGATGCCAAGAACAACGACCCCTCCTGTCGCGCCCCGAATTTGGTTGGGGGGCGGAAAGATACGGATACGTGCTGTCCCCGGACCTCTCTTGGGGTGCGTTCTGACCAGAATTTCGAGGCGAATCCAGCGGTGACAACGAGGATTCCCCAGGAGGGCCAGGAAAGGCCGAAAACGAAGGGGGACAACACGTATCCGTATCTTTTTCTCCCCCGATTTGGCGCGAACGGCATCCGCTCCCGAAATTGTCGGGTCGCGCGTGCTCCGGGCCCTCCTCGTCCGACCCGACGCGCACCCCCTGCGGCGCCTCCGGCGTAGGCCGCCGCGGAGCCGGCCGCTGCCAGCAGCAGCGCGCACGCTGCCTGCCCTCTGCCAAAGCCATGGAGCTCGGGACGACGGGCACGAGGGGGGCCAGGCGAAGGAGGAGGAGGAGGAGGAGCAGCAACAGCAGACGGGCAGAATAATAATGATGGTGATGATGATGATGACGACGACGACGATGATGATGATGATGATGATGATGATGATGATGATGCTGATGATGAGGATGAGGATGATGATGCTGATGAGGATGAGGATGAGGATGATGAGGATGATGATGCTGATGATGATTACGATGATGATGGTCCATGAGGGTGGTGATGATAATAAGAATGATGATGAGGAGGAGGAGGAGGAGCAGGAGGAGCAGGAGAACCAGGGGGGAGGAGGAACAGGAGGAGGAGGAGGAGCAGAAGAAGACAGGGGGGAAGGGAGGGACGAGACTAGGCAAGACTGTCTCTTAGGACGCGGGCGGATTATTGCCATGCTCGTGCCATACCCGCTGGTATGCTTCGAATGGGACTGGGTCCCTACCCGCTTTCAACTAACTATGTGCACGCAGCAACACGCTCGCTTACATGCGTCAGCAAGCACACAGACAATACAACACGAGCCAGACGTCGCCTCGATGCGAAGCACGCAGATACCTGCCATGCGAAAGGCCGCCCCACGACTGCGGGGCACGGTTCTCGACAGCACATCTGTCCGTTTCCCGAAGGATGGGGGTGCACTGCCCCAGGAGACCGCCGTCCCCCAGGGCGCGGGATCTTGCCACTGCTGTGAAGGATAAAGGTCTCCCCTGCATTCCCCAATGCCGGATTCCGCAGAAAAACTTGGGTTTAGGCTATGCGCTGCGTGTCAGAGCAGAGGGGTAGCGATCACGTTGAATCGTTGACCTGCGGGAGCAGGCCGTGGGGCTAACCTGAGGCATTGAACAAATGCCCCACCATGCGCCCCACGACTGTGAAGCACCTTTGACGGGGATACAAGGGCAATGCCCCTCTCACTCTTGAAGTATGGCACATCCGCCCCTGTGCAACATAGAGGCCTCTGGAGCAGCCCCGCAGACACCTCCCCTCAAAGAGCGGTGCGCCCCACGACTGCGAAGCACAATCCTTTACCCAACTGCCCTAACGGTCGCATGGGATTGCTATATGGTTCGGGACCGATGCGCAATCTATTACGTGGCACGTGCGCCGCTAACTACTCGGGCCCCAATGCGCAATGGGAGCTCCTGTCCTAATGGCCCCTCGCAAAACCCACCCCCCAAAGCGCGGGTCAGAGCTACTACTCTGAAGCATGGTCGATACACTCAAACGCCAACTTACCAGAAGACGCAAGCTAACGTGTGGGCCACGCCTCCTGAAGGGGGAAACTCGTCCTTGCGTGCCCATGCTTCTCCAATCGATGATTCTTCCCATAAGCCCCCCACATCCCCCACAATCACTGACCCCCAAGGCTTGGCTCGATGATGCACCTGCCCCTAATGGTGCCCCCACGACGGTGAAGCACAAGATGCAGCGTCCCCACTGGTCGCCCCCAACTGTGCATCACAGCTTGCCTTCAAGCTTCCCCCCTGATACCTACCAGGCGCGGTGTCGCCACACGACTTTGAAGAACGAGTATCAGCCATAAGCTAGCACATAGACCTGAACACTGACTTGTTCTTCTCCACCCTCTGCATCGGTCCCGCCGCAGCCCAAGGAGGTGGCCGATGTCAGGTCCTGCCTCTTTTAGTTGTTTGCTGCTAGGGGCTGCGCTTTCCATCGCGGGTGGTGGCCCCGCGCCGCCTTTACAGAAAGTCGCGCACAGGCACTAGTTAATCAAATGCCACCGCGATCCCCCGCCTGTAAACCAGGTGTCACCCATTCCGGGTACGGCTTAATTGGACCGAGTCTGGGCGCTGGCGGGGCGGTCCGTGCAATCCGCACCAAACCGATCCACCAGCAATCCTTCCGATAGACAGCCGCACTTCATGAAAACAAAAAGAATGCCGTCGGGCGTGGCTGTCACGAAACTCGCGTGCCCCCCTCGGCTCAGCAGCAAGTGCGCTGAACACCTGGCTGTGACCAGGGCGCTGGAAGGGCAAGGAGGGGGCTGGCGTCTGACCTCTCTTCCATACTACAGGTGACGGGGCCCACGGTTCCAAATGGTAACGCGTCTTCATGCGGATACGGTGGAAACGCAAGGTGACTGAGAAGGATATGGGATGCACCCAAAAACAATCAAGTAGGGCCAGAACGGAAATCGGGGGCCAGTTGGGGACCACATGAAAACCGTTATCAGGAAAGTCTTTTGTTTCGAATGGCATCTGCGGGGGGGTCCTCAGGCGGGTGGTTCTGGTTCCGCACGGCGCTGTGATTGCCCCTCTGACGAGAGGCATTGCGCGAATCGAACGACCGCGAAGAGCCGCCCCACGATTGTGAAGCACCCCTCTCTTGAGAGGCCTTGGATACAATGCAATCGACCGCCCAACCTAGACTAAACCACCTGTCCCAGGGCCACCCCACGACTGTGAAGGACACTCTTACGGGCCCTGCCACGACTAAGACCCAGGTGGAGCCCGTGGCTGGCTCTCCAGCCTGACGGGTGGTCAGCCACATCACTTTCTGAGGTGGTTGGGCCCTTGAGTGAGCAGCCACCCCGTGCTGGGGGCACCCTTTATACACACGAACGACATGCTTCAATCGTAGTTCTTGACCGTCCAGGGTTGAAGGGGCCCCAGGACACACAAATAAATACACACACATAAAACTACTCCCCATGTTTTCCCATATTTTCTGGGTTTCTGTCTTCCCGCCCACTTCCTATATTTTCCGGTATTTTCTGGGGAATCGAGGATTCATTGTGTCTGTGTGTTTCTTTTCCTCCTGACCTTATACACACGAACGACAGTCTTCAATCGGAGTTCCTGACCGTCCAGGGTGATCATCCTGGTGGGGCCTGCGGCTCGCCCATCCCGAGGGGTGGTCAGCGGCAGAACGTCCTGACGTGGTCAGGCCTTGAATTGAGCAGCCACCTCGTGCTGGGGGTGCAAAGCTCCTCCCATGGGCCCCCCCCGCAACCAACCCCCCCACGGCGCGGGACCTCCCCACGACTGTGAAGTACGATCCCTGCGTGCCCTATCACCGAGAAGCCTCAATGGGAATTCGTTCCCACAGGGCCCCCCACAACCATCACCCCCCCAGGCGCGGGTCATTCCCATGACTGTGAAATACGCTTACTTATGTCACTGAGGTGCGCCCTACAACTGTGTAGCAAAAAATGAAGCAAGTAGCCTCAAGGTAGCCCTGCACACCTGGCCCCTCACAAACTCCCCCCTTCTGTCCAAGGCGTGGTCCGATACACAACGATAGGTGTGACAGGGGGGCCTTCCACACTTGGTGGTGACAACGGGGACCTGCTCCCAGTTCGTTATTCAGGTAGGTCTGGGCCCCTTTGTTCCCTGCAACTGTTTACACGACGTGGTGCATATGATCTCCAACACGTATCTACCCACTGGCGTGGCTTGGGAATGGCATTCGCCCCAGCCACGCTCGGACTCAAACCCTTCTCTAACCCCCCCATCTGGCGTGGCTGGAGAATCAAATTCGCCCCAGCCCGCGCTCGGCCTCCGGACTGGCTTCCCCCAAATGGGAAACGAATGTTGCTGCATGTTTGAACCCTGACAGTGGCTCAGTGCTCCGCCCCAGGCAGATGGCGTGCGCATGTGTTGCATGCTGAGCGGCGAAATCGCAACGTCCATAGATGCAGAATGGGGAAGACACGCCCCCTCACAGCCCTCAGGAAGTAAAAGTGGGGCAGTGGGGACCCTCATTTGAATATCAGGTTCGGTTGGGGTGGCAACAACATACGTGCTGCATGGGGCAGGCTGCCCCCACGCCACGCAGTCTTTGATCAAGAGGCTGGGGACGGTTTTCCACCACGCAGCCTTCGCAGGCTGACCCCCCCACCCTGCCCTTATACTGGTCGAAGGGGTTGCCGGCGTGCCCCAATGAGCCCTCTCGGTGTGGCCGGTGGCTGGTGTCGGCCTCCTTTGGGAGGGCCATGCCTGGCCTGCCTAAGGGTGAAAGAGGGCCCCATACTCTCTGATGCATGACGGCCTGCCAGCGCAGCGTGTTGGGTCGGAACCGCATGCGAAGATGCACTGCCACTGTCGCCCAGCCGTTCACTGGTTACGGGGCTACTCAGGGGTGCTCTTCGAGTTCTGCAGACTCTTAGTGGCGCCCCGTGCGTCCCCTGAGCTTAGCCCCTCAACCAGTTTCGAACGGCGCCGGCACGGGGAGAGGAGGGAGGAAGAGGGGAGGAAGGCGAAAACGGGGGAGCAGGGGGGGAAGGGGAAGAGGAGGGAGGAAAGGAATCTGAGGAGGAACAAAGCGGAGAGGAAGAGGACGGGGAGGGCGGCGCGGCGAGCGGTGAGCCCACGGAGGGCGTCCGGCGCCCGCCTTGCCCCGCCCCGCCAGCTCCGCGCCGCGGCGCAGGTGGCGGCGGCCTCCTCCGCGCCGCGGCTGCAGCCCCGCTCCCCGACCCGCGGCAGCCGCGGGCGCGGCCACCGAGCCCTCGCGGTAACGGGCGCTCGCTGGACGGGCAAGCGACGACGGGAGTACCGCGACGACGACAGCGGCAAGCGAAACCGATCAGCGACAGATGCCGCCGACGACGAACACGATGACGACGACGCTGGGCGGCGCGGCTGGCGTCGGCGACGGCGACGGTCGACGAGGGCAGGTAGAGGGGACGGGAACAGTGACGACAAACATGACCTCGTTGACGACAGCGGCGATCGCTGGAAGCGGCGACGACGACGATGGCGACGGGCAGCGATGACGGGATCGATGACAATGGCGACAAACGCTGCAGCTACGACGACACCAGAGACAGCGACTGACTTACTCCTGCTCACCTGTTCATGATCGTTCCCTCCTTCCTGCTATCCTTGCTGCTCCTCATCATCATCATCATCATCATCATGTTTATGTTGTTGTCTTTCCTCTTATGCACCAGCTTCCACCTGAAATTCGTTCTCTGCTCGCCTCCTCTTCCTCCTCCTGCAATGCCTTCCTTCCTGTCCTCCGCCTCTCCCCTCCCCTAACGATCCGCCGCGCTCCTCCTCTTCCTCCTCCTTTTCCTCCTCCTCCTCCTCCTCCTCCTCCTCCTCCTCCTCCTCCTCCTCCTCCTCCTCCTCCCTCCTCCTCCTCCTCCTCCTCCTCCTCCTCCTCCTTCCCCCCCTCCCCCTCCCCCTCCTCCTCCTCCTCCTCCTCCTCCTCCTCCTCCTCCTCCTCCTCCTCCTGGTCCTCCTCCTGGTCCTCCTCCTCCTCCTCCTCCTCCTCCTCCTCCTCTCCTCCTCCTCCTCCTCTTCCTCCTCCTACTCCTCGTCCTCCTCGTCCTGCTCTTCTCCCTCCCGTTGGCCCCCACCCCCCCGCCTGCACAGCCCCCCCTCTTCATCCTCGTCCTCTTCCTCCTCTACTACACCCACACATTCTTCTCCTCCACCTCACCCTTCCTTCTCCTACTTCTGCACCTCCTCCCCCTCCTCGTTACCTACGCAGCGCCATCGGGCGCCACCCAGACCGCCCCAGCGCCCGCCACGCGCCTCCGGGGCGCGACGGCTACGCGGCGGCGGGCCCGTTCTGGAGGGGGTAAAGGGGAAGGAAGGCCACCCACACTCCCCTCAAATCCTAAGGCCAGGGTGGGTGGAGCGGCGGGGCGAGCGGGGGGGGCATTCAACCGTAGCAGATGTTCATGCCGTTGACGCAATACCCTGGCGGTAACATTGCACACGAGGTGCCTTGTACGTAGCGCTGTAGACGTGGCACGTGCACGTAGCATCTTTGTCCGCAGCGCTGTAGCAATTTGAAATCGACCCCCAAATTGCGGCAGGCCCGTCTCGCCATGACTCCCCAGAGCCGTCGCCCGCCAGGTCGTAATACTCAGCATTCCACCTGTCTTTGTTCGAGTAGGTGTTGTACTTCTCGTTGCTTTCTTCCTGCTCCACGTCGCTCTGGTTGTCCTCGTCGTCGCCCTCGTCTTCCTCCTGTCGTCGTAGAAATTCTGCGGCGAGGATAGGCTTGGGTCGCTGGCTTATCGGCATCCCGTTCTGGTGCGCCTTGCAGTGGTCGCGGGCGGACAAGAGCGCATCGATGGCACCTGAGGGGCCCAGCGCACGGACCAACGCGCCCTAGGCCTCGCACGGCCGCTCATGTCTACGGGCACAATCATGTCGAAGGTTTGATGTACGCGGAGTTCGTGGGTTTGGATACAGCCGTGATGACGAATACCTCTGTGAATGCCTAAACCTCGGCGACCGTGGCCCTGAGGTGGTCCAGCCCCTGGAGCGCGGCGTACATGATGGTGGGCTCGCCCTGCTCGTCGCTCTCCTCGTCCTCCTCTTGTGGCCCTCGGCGTCGCTCAGTCGATGGCTCTCGGAGTCCTGCTCGCGGCCCCCGTAGCTCGGCTCGTTAAGCCCGCAGTTCGGCTGGTGGCCCTCGTAGATGCGTCGGGGGCTCCAGAGGCTCCGTTTGTGGATTTTGTAATTCAGCTGGCGGCGCTGGTAGCTCTGCTGGAGACCCTTGCTGCTCAGCTTGTGTCCCGCGTAACTCAGCTCGTGGCCGTTGAAGTCTTGCTGGTGGCCCGCGCAGTCCAGTCGACGACACTCGCGGCCCAGCGCGTGGTCCTCATAGTTCGGCTTGCCAACCTAGAAGCTCGGCTCGTGGCCCTCGCAGCGAAGGTGGCATAGCTGGCTCCCCTTGCAGCTCAGCTGGGTACCCTCGTAACTCGGGTGGCCCTCGCAACTCTGCTGGTGTCCCTCGCCCCTCGCAGCTCCGCCAGTGGCACTCGTAGTTTAGCTGGCGGCCGACGTATCTCAGGATGCAGCCCTCTTAACTTCAGCTGGTGGCCCTCGAAGCCCAGCCGTTGACCCGGGTAGTCTTGGTGGCACTGGCAGTTCAGCTGCTGGCCCTCGAAGCTATGCCGGTGGTTCTCGAAGCTCCCGGCGGTCCTTGAGGTTCAGAGGGTGGTTCTCATAGCACTGCGTGCCCAAGTCGCCCAACTGGTGGTGCTAGACGCTCGGCTGAGTATCCGTGTAGCTGCGCTCGTGGTTCTTGTAGTTATGCTGGTGGCCCCGGTGGCTCAGCTGGCTTCTTGATGCAGCTAGGGAGGGGTAGCGCGGCGGACCTGGTCTGCTGTTTGGTGGTCCTCGCATCTGCCTGGCAGCTTCGGCGTCGTCATGTCCAGAGCCGCGCGATAGTTGTAGCGCCGTCCCCTGCTGGTCGAGGTAGCTGTTCCAGCTAGGTGGCCGGGAGGCTGGTTCTAGTGGCTCTCGTAATTCGGCTGGTAGCCCTCGTAATTCAGCTGTCGGTCCTCGGAGCACTGCCTGTAGTCCTTGAAGCCCTGCGCGTGGCCTTGGTAGCTCAGCGCGTGGCCCCAGTAGCTCAGCTGGTGGTCCTCGTAGCTATGCTGGTGGCTGTCATGGCTCAGCAGGTGGCTCAGCTCGTCGCCCTGGTAGCTCTGCAGGAGGCTCTCGTAGTTATGGCTGTGGCCCGCGTGGCTCTCTGTGGCCTTCCTAGCTCAGCTGGTGGGTCGCTGATTTCTACTGCTGGCCCTTGCAATTCAGCTCGTCGCCCTAGTCTGGCCCTCGTAGCTCTTCATGTGGCCCTCGTGGGTCTCGTAGCTCAGCTCGCCGTCCTCGTGGCTCTGCCGGTGGCTCTCGTGGCTGGGCCTCTCAGCTCGGGGTCCTCGAAGAGCTGCTGGGGCTCGTGGCTCTTTAGGTGACTGTAGTAGCGGTGCCTGCGGTCCCCGTTGTTGAAATTGCGGGCCTAGAAGGTCCGCTGGTGGCCCTGGCAGCTCTGGCGGTGGCCGTAGTATTTGTCATCGTAGCACACTTGGTGCCTCCACTGGCTCAGCTGGTGGTTCTCGTCACGCGCGAATGGTCCTCGCGGTTCAGCGCGTAGTCCTCATGATCCTGCTCGTGGCTTCCGTGGCTCAGCTTCCGGTCCTCGTTGATCAGCTCGCGGCTCTCGTGGATCTGCTGGTGGCTCTCGCAACTAACTCGGCAGGTAGGCATCGAAGCTTTCTCGCGAGACTCCCGCAGCTGTGCTCTTGGTCCCCGTAGCCCAGCTTGCGGCATGTGGTCCTCGAAGGGCTGCTGGTGGCCCTGATGGCTCTGCTGGTGGCGGTTGTCGCTCTGTTCGTTCCCCTCGATGCTCAGGTAATGGCCCAAGTAGATGTCCAGGTGGGCCTCGTAGCCCTGCTTCTCGTAGCTCAGCTTGCGGTCCTCGTAGTTCAGCTCGTGGCGCTTATCTTTTATTTTTTTTGTTCTGGTGGCTCTCGTAGCTCGGCAGGTGGGTCTTGAGGCACTTCAAGTGGCTATCGTAGCTCTGCGCGTGGTCCTCGTAGTCAGCGCGTGGTCACAGAAGGTCGTCTGGTAGCCTGGCAGCTGCGCTGGTGGCTGTAGAAGCTCAGAGGGCATGGTCTCTTCGTCCCCAGGGTGTGGGCCGGAGTCGTCGGCTGCCAAGTCGTAGCCTACCACGTTCTGGGTGTCCCTGCAGTCCTGGCGCTGTCGTGACCACGCGGCTCGTCGTGGTCCTGACGGCTGTCGTGACCGCGCGGGGTACAATTCGCGGTCGAAAACGCTGTCGCATTCGTACTCGTCGTAGGCGGCGCGGCCGTCGTAGTCGCAATCGTCGTTGGCGGTGCGGCCGTTGTCAACCAGTGCCTCCACGACGACGCACTTACGAACTCTGCGGGCTGCTTGGTCGTGTCGTTCCTGGTGCCGGTCTCGGACGTGTACTTGGTGTCGCAGTAGTGGTGGCACTCGTCCTTAGGCTGCACGTTACGCAGCTCATTCTCGCACTTGGGCTGCCTGTTGCGCAGCTCGTTATCGCACTGGGGCTGCCTGTTACGCAGATCGTGCTTGGACGCTCTCGCGGGGGCGGTCGTAGCAATGATAATGCTGTCTTTGGGTCGAAGCTGTATCCCATGCCGGACGTTGTGCATAACTCGTTTTTGGGCCGCGTCTGTTCGCGCCCACGCGCCGTTATGCGTGTATGGTTTCGGCGTGTTTGCCTGTGCGTCTCCACGGCAGTGGGTCAATATCGTGGCCTTCTTGTTCAGCAGCGAGTGGTTGATATTGCAGTCGCAGCTTGATATTGCAGTCGCAGCATGCCTTGACTTCTAATGGCTTCATCTCGGGAGCGGCCCAGAGGGGGGTGTCCAAGAGGAGGGGGTGCAAATCATGACCGTCGGCATGTGCGCGGCCCAGCGGGGGGACCAGGGACGTAATGAAATAAGAAGAGGCGCCATGAAATCTGGGGAAATATTATGGCCCCCGTCGTGATATCCACCCCCCCTAGTCATCACCCCCCTCTTTGCCGCCCCCGATCAACGTATTTCACGCCGACCTTGATGATGTTCACGAGGGGCGTGGCGTATTGGGTGGAGAGCGTACCGCACGGAACGCCGTCCGCGGCGTGGTGGGCAGCGCGCTCCCGCCGCCGTCCCCCCTCCCCCCGCGGGCGGGCGGGTGGTGTGGAGCACCCCGCCTCGGCTGCTCCTTCTTCCCCTTCCTTCTCCTCCTCCTCGTTCTCCTGCTCCTCCTCCTCCTCCTCTCCTCCTCCTCCTCCTGCTGCTTCTCCATTCCTTTTCCCTATGAATAGCTTTCTCCCTGTCGCACCCCGAGGCCGGTCAACAGGGCGGGCCGGGCGTTTCGCTTGAGACTTCCTGACCAGATATTGCCCTGAAGCATCAAACTTGGCAACAGGTTCACACATGGAGTCGCTTTCAAAATGTGGCTCTCGCCTCAGCACCGCGCACATCCGTTTTAAACATTCGCAAGAGTTTCACGGATTGAAAGCGGGTCGTTTTCGAAATGTGGCTCTCGCCTGAGCGCCGCGAGCATTCATTCTGGAAATTTGCAAGGGCTCCACGGATTGAGGGCGATTCGTTTTGAACATGTGTCTCTCGCATTGGCGCCGCGCACATTCGTTTGAACAAATTTCAAGAGCTTCACGGGTTGAGGGCGGTTCGTTTTGAAAATGTGCCTCTCGCACTAGCGCCACGCTCTTTCCTTTTCAAAAAACTCCCAGATTTCCACAGAGTCTCGTGATCAACATACCAGAACTGGTGATTGTGAAAGGTTCAGAGTTATGAGGGCGCAAAAGTTTCGTTGATTCGCGGTGGTGAAGTCCCAGGAGTGGCCTGCTCCTCCTCCTCCTCCTCCTCCTCCTTCTCCTTCTCCTCCTTTTCGACGTTTGTCGTCTCCTCCTCCTCGTCCTCCTCCGCCACGTCTTCTTGTTTCCCCATTTCGCCCTCACTTTGCTCCTCCTCCTCCTCCTCCTCCTCCTCCTCTTCATCTTCCTCCTCCTCCTCCTCCTCCACCTTCTCCTCCTCCTCCTCCTCCTCCGACTCCTCCTCCTCCTCCCCCGCCTCCATGTAGTCCTCGCCTCCTCCTCCTGTTCCTTCCCTTCCTCCTACTCAGTATTCCACTCCTCCTCCTCCTCCTCCTCCTCCTCCTCTTGTTCCTTCTCCTCCTCCTCCTCCTCCTCCTCCTCCTCCCTTCCTCCCTGTTTCCCACCTCCTCTTACTCCTCGTCATCCTCTTCCTCTAACTCCTTCTCCTCCTCCTCCTCGTCCTCATCCTCCTCCTTCTCCTCTCCATCCTCTTTCTCCTCGTCCTTGTCCTCGCCCTCCTCCTCCTCATCTTCTCCCCCTCGTCCCCCTCCTCCCCCTCCTCCTTCAACTCCTCTTTCTCCTCCTCCTTCTTCTCCTCCTCCTCCTCCTCATCGTCATAGTCACCATAATTATCACGATCTTCTCCTCGTCATCAGCATCATCCTCATCATTATCATTATCATTAGCATCATCATCATCATCAGCAGCAGCAGCAGCAGCAGCAGCAGCATATTCATCATCATAACCATCAGCATCGTCATCATCAGCAGCAACATCATCATCAGCATCATCAACGTAATCAGCATCATCATCCTCATCTCCACAGCATCAGCATCAGCAGCATCAGCATCATCAACAGCAGCATCATCATCAGCATCATCAGCACAACAATCATCATCATCAGCAGCATCATCATCCGTATCATCATCATCATCATCATCATCATCATCATCATCATCATCATCATCATCATCAGCATCAGCATCAGCATCATCATCATCATCATCATCATCATCATCATCATCATCATCATCATCATCATCATCGTCATCCTCTCCTCACCCTCCTCTCCTCATCCTCCTCCTCAGTCTCCTCCTCCTCATCCTTCTCATATTCCTCCTGGTCCTCCTCCCCCTCCTCCTCCTGCTCCCCCTGTTCCTCCCCCCCCCCCTTTCCTTCTCCTCCTCCTCCTCCTCGTCCTCCTCCTCCTCCTTCTCCTCGTCCTCTTCTGCCTCCCCCCCCTTGTCCTCGTCATGGTCCTCCTTCCCCTCCTCCGCCTCCTCCTCCTCGTCCTCCTCCTCCTCCCCCTCCTCCTCCTCCTCCTCCTCCTCCTCCTGATCAGATTCCTCCTGTTCCTGCTCCTGCTGCGTCGTTTCCTCCTCCTCCTCCTGCTCCTCGCCATCGATCTCGTCCCCGTCCTCATCATCCTCCTCCTCCTCGTCGGCCTTCTCCTCCTCCTTCTCCTCCTCCTTCTCCTACGTGTTCCTCCTCTTCCTCCTTCTCCTCCTCCTCCGCCTCCTCCTCGTCCTGGTCCTCGGCCCCATCCCCCTCCTCCTCCTCCTCCTTCTCCGCGCCTCCTCCTCCTCCTCGTCCTGGTCCTCGGCCCCATCCCCCTCCTCCTCCTCCGCCTCCTCCTCTTCCTCCTCCTCTTCCTCGTCCTCCTCCTTCTGTCCTTCCTTCTTCTCCCTCACCCCCTCATCCACATCATCCAGTTCCTGTTCATCCTCCTCCGCCTCCTCGACATGATCCTCGTCGTCCTCGTCCTCCTCCTCCCCCCATCCTCTAATTCTCCTCCTCCTTATCCTCCTTCACCTCCTCGTCCACCTCCTCCTCGTCCTCACCCTCCTCCTGCTCCCCTCCTCCTCCTCCCCTTTTTCCTCCTCTTCCTCCTCCTCCTCCTCCTCCTCCTCCTCCTCCCTCCTCGTCGTCTGCCTCCTCCTCCTCGTCCTCCTCCTCCTCCTCCTCCTCCTCTTCCTCCTCCTCCACTTCCTACTCCTCCTCCTTCTTCTCCTCCTCCTCCTCCAACTCCTCCTCTGGCTCTTGCTCCTCCTCCTCCTCCTCCTCCTCGACCTCGTTCTCCTCCGTCTCCTCATGTTCCTGGTCTTCCTCATCCCCCTCCTCCCGCTTCTTCTCCTGCTCCTCCGCCTCCTCCTCATCCTCTTCATCCTTCCCCCATCATCTTCGTAATCCGCATCAGCATGATCACCCTCATCATCATCATCATCATCATCATCAGCATCAGCAGCAGCATCATCACAATCATCAGCATTATAGTCATCATCACACTCATCATCAATAGCAACATCATAACCATCACCACAACCATTATCATCGGATTCTCATCAGCATCATCATGAACAACAGCAGCAGCACCATCATCATCATCATCATCATCATCATCATAATCATCATCATCATCATCATCATCATCAGCATCATCATCGTCATCATCAACATCACCATCATCATCCGCAACAGCATCATCATCAACATCATGAACATCATCAGCATCATCAGCATCATCAGCAGCAGCATCAGCATCCGCAACAGCAACATCATCAACAGCATGATCACCAGCAACAGCATCAGTAGCATGATCATCACCATCACCACCAACATGATCATCGTCATCGTCATCAACATCATCATCAGCATCACCAACAACATCATAATCATGATCATCCGCAACACCATCATCAACATCAACATCGACATCATCAACCTCATCAGCAGCAGCAGCAACATCCGCAACAGTATCAGCATCATCAGCAGTATGATCGTCAGCAACATCATCATCAGCAGCATCATCACAATGATCAGCATCGTCATTATCGTCATATCCTCCTCATCATCATCATCATCAACAGCATCATAGGAATCGTCGTTATGATCATCATCACCATCATCATCATCATCACAGTCGACAGCAGCAGCGGCCGCATCAACATGAAGAGCAGCAACACCAGCAGCATCATCACCATCAGCAGCAATACCAGCATCATCAACATCATCACCAGCATCAGCAGCTTCGTCACCATATGCATCATCAGCCTCATCACCATCAGCATCAGCATCAGCATCATCATGCTCATCGCCATCATCCCCATCCTCATCCTCTTCCTCTTCTTCGTCCTCGCATTCGTCCTCGTCCTCGGTTTCTCGTCCTGGTCCTCGTCCTCGTCCTCCTCCTCACCCTGCACCTCCTCTGCATCCACATCCTGCTCCTCATCCTCTTCCTTTTTCGCTTCCCACTCCCCCCCAGACTCCTCTTCATTCTTCTCCTCCTCGTTCTCGTCCTCGTCTCGTCCTCGTCTTCGTCCTCCTCCTCCTCCTCCTCCTCCTCCGAGTCGTCCTCGTCCTCGTCCTCGTCCTCCTCGTCTTGTCATCGTCCTCGTCCTCGTCCTCCGCCTCCAACCTCCTCCTCCTTCTCCTCCTCCTCCTATTCCTCCTCCTCCTCCTCCTCCTCCTCATCATCATCATCCTCCCCTTCATCCGTGTCATGTTCCTCCTCCTCCTCCAGCTCTTCCTATTCCTGCTCCTCCTCCTTCTCCTCCTCCTCCTCCTCGTCCTTGTCCTGGTCCTTGTCCTCTTCTCCTCCTCATCTTCTTCCACCTCCGTCTCCTCCTCCTCCTCCCGCTCTGCTTACTCCTCCTCCTCCTCCTTGTCCTCCTCCTCTTCCTCCGTCTCCTCCTCCTCCTACTCCTCCTCCTCCTCGTCCTCCCCCTCGCCATCGTCTTGGTGCTCGTCATCCTCCTCCATTTCCACTTATTCGCTCCTCCTCCCTCCGCTCCTCCTCCTCCTCCTCCTCCTCCTCCTCCTCCTCGTCCTCTTCCTCCGCCTACTCCATTTCCTGATCTTCTTGCTCCTCCTCCCGTTACTCCTCCTCCTCTTCCTCCTCCTCCTCCTCGTCAACCTCCTCCTCCTCCTGCCCCTGCTCATCGTCCTCGTCATCGTCCTCGTCCTCGTCCTCGTCCTCCTCCTCCTCCTCCTCCTCATCATCCTCCTTTCCCTCCTCGTCTTCTCCATCCTCCTCCACCTCCTCCACCTCCTTCTCCTCCTGCTCCTCCGCCTCCTCTTCCTCCTCCTCGTCCTCCTCCACATCCTCCTACTTATCCTTCTCCTCATCCTCCTCTTCGTCCTCCTCCTCCTCCTCCTCCTTCTCCTGATCCTCCTCCTCCTCCTCCTCAACCTCCTCATCCCGCTCCTCCTCATCCTCCTCCCCCTCCTCCTTCTCCTCCTCCTCCTCGCGTGCCTCCGCTTCCTCCACGGCCTCGGTGCCGCCGAGCAGCCCAAGGAGCTCCTCCCGCACCATCGCCCGGCCCCTTGGGGCCCGTCCCGCCCCGCCGGCTTGCGGCGAACGGCCACCGTACCAGAGGGCGGCGAAGGAGGCCCCGACCATGTCTGTTTCCTCTTCCCCGTTCCTCCGCGTCCTCGTCCCCCTGCTCGTCCCCCTCCCCGTCCTCCTCCTCCTCCTCCTCATCATCCTCCTCTTTCTCGTCCTCTTTCTCCTCCTCCTCATCCTCCTCCTTCTCCGCCATCCATCTCCCCTTAGAAACAACTACGCCCTGTCGCATCCTGAGACGTGATGGGCGGGCGTGCTCGGCTTTGTTACCTGAGACTTCTCCATCAATCGTGAACCGTAAGCGGAGAAGTTGTAACGGCGTCACGGATGAATGGCGGGTGATTTTCAAAATGTGGTTTGCGCATTAGCGCCGCGCGATTTCGTATTGAATAACCCTGCGGCGTACCCAACCCATCTGCACTAAGTGACACGAGGGGCTGGTCCATAATAGTTTCGCAAGCGGTGAGGCTGGAGTTGCCAATGGTTGCGCAAGCTGTATGGGCAGCGCGCGTTCGCTGCGCAACTCACAGGACGACGAAAAAGGAAGAGGACTGCTGCCCCAAGCTCGAAGATGAAGTGGGGGTGGGAACGAGGGGCCAGAAAAGGACAGAAGAGGGGCCGAACAGCTACCGCCAGAACAGCAGTGAGACGGCCTAGCAGAAAGAGAACGACAACAAAAGAAACACAATGAGGAAAGAGGGTGGCGGTCACTTCCCAAAAGCACGCTGGACAATCAGCGCGGCCCGCACCATGTCGCCCTGGCGTTCCAAAAGATCAGCACATAGCTAGTGCAAAAAAGGAGCGAGGACGACCTTGCTCACCAAGTTCTCCGCTTCTTGCCTGCGCCGTGCATCGCGGGAGTTAAACGCCCGCAGGCGCGCTGCCAGGTCTTCGGGACCCGCGGAAAAGAAATCAAGGCTAATCTAAATCCGCATAGGGTTTCACTCCGATGGACCTCCCAGCAGCCCTCGAGAGTGGCGACAATTTCGCAGATCGTAGCCCCTTATGGACGGCGAGGTCCAATTTAGGTCTGCGTGGGGTCTCGCTCCACTGGACCCCGCAACAGCCCTTGAGAGTGGCGACACTTCCGCAGATCGCGGCCCACCAAGGGATGGCGAGGTCTGACTCAGGTTTGCGTGGAGCTTCGAGAGAAGCGGCAATTTCGCAGATCACAACCCCCTAGGAATGGCGGGGTCTAATGCATCTTTGCGTGGGACCTCACTCCAGTGGACCCCCCAGCAGTCCTCGAGTGGCAACAGTTTCGCAGACCGCAGCCCCCATCAGGTCTAATTTAGGTCCCCGGCGCGGCCTCACTCCGCTGGACCCAGCATCAGCCCTCAAAAAGGGTGAAAGTTTCATATTCCGCCGACCTCAAGGGATGGCGAGGTCTAGTCTGAAACTATGGCGGGACCTCACTCCGCGGAATCCTCCACCGGCCCTCCAAAGTGGCTGCACTTTCCAGGGTTGACGAGGAAAGGCGGGACACAAAATAGAAGGGGGGCGGGAAGGAAGAAGGGAAGGCCGCGACCGCGGTGCTCTAGTTGCGCACATCCGTATAACAAATATCCTGGCGATGCACACAACCCCTGCACAACGCCTGGCCAAAATAGCTGGGTAGACTTTATACGGGAAGATGACGTTGTATGAAAGGGTTGTGCACATGCATGTATGTACGCATGACTGTAAGTAAGTATGTATGTAGTGCATGTGTAATGTACCTGCATGCGTACATGTACTTAATGTGTAGATGGATGTGTGAATTTGCACGTACATGTATATGTATAAGTATGTGTGAATGCCAAGGTGCTTGCATATGTATATATATATATAGGTGCACGTGTATGTATACGTATACGCATATGTATATGTAACTATGTACATATATATATATATATATATATATATGCGTATTTACATATATACATATATGCATACATGTTATATGTATATGTATATACATATATACATATATATATATATATATGTGTGTGTACATATATATATATATATATACACATGTATGTATGTGTCCACATCCCTTTTCCACATATGTTTACAAGGCTGGGGGGGCCCTGGAAAAAACGCCCCCCCCCGCCCCCGGGACTTATTTGGCCCACCCACCCTCCAGACGACCCGGGAGAACCCCACGAGAGCCCGAAGACGGCCCCAGAGGGCTCCAAGTGTTCCTGCGCGCTCCCGAAATGACACCAGAGAGCTCCAAGCCGGCCCACGACGACCCCAAAGAAGCCGTCATACGCCCAAAGATCGCTTCAAAACGTCCCAAGAGGCCTCCAAGAAAACTCCTAAAAAGGTCCCAATCGTCAAAAATCATTTATTTTCTCTTGGTTACCGGTGAATTTGGGGGTTCTCCTCTTTTCGGCTTCCCGACGCTACAAGATGGCGGTCCCCTGGGCGTCCGAAGCCGCCTGGGAGGCTCGAAAATCGCCACACAACCGTCCGAAAGGGCTTCCAGGCAGTCCAAGAGAGCCGCAAGACGGCACAACAAGGTTCCAAGATGGCCTCAGAGAGCCCCATGACGGCCCCAAGACACCCTCCGAAGCATTCCAAATCGAGACCCGGTCGTTCAGGGACACCGCGGTTTGAGGCAAGGTGGCCCGAGGAAGCCCCCAGAGGCCCCCAGAAGACGACCAGGAGGCCTCCAGCAGGCCTTAAAGAAGCATGAAAAACTTCCGTGAAGCCCTCATAGGCTCTCCAAGGAGGAGCCCCCGCAAAAAGAGCTGAGGAGGATGTGGGGAATACGCAAGGTAGGGCGAGAATGAGGAAAAAGAAGCATGGACGAAAACGAATCACATTATTATAACGGCGACGCTGGAAAAGGAAACACGGAATTATCGCTAAATTGTCGGTTCGACCGTCCTGTCATTCCGCCTGGAGACCAAAACTTCAAGGACCAAGGTGCGTGGCGCGAAGCGCCAATGCAATCTTGAATATAAATATATACACATGTATAAATGTGCGACCGTTACTTTGGGGGCTCGCGAACCGCGCGACTCGCAAGACACCGACTGGTGGACAAGGGCTCGATTGTGGTGATTAATTAGTTCGCTGGGTCGAAAGGGCAGAAATGCAAGGACTGACGGGGAGAAGGGGGAGCTTGAAGCATCAGTACGGAAGGGGGAACGGACTGGGTATGACTACTTGTCAGGGGCTGCGGTTCTGAACAGAAGCCTCCTCATCCGCATTCTCCAAATTAGGTTTCTCCCCCTCCCTCATTCCTTTTCTGTATGAATCACTTCTCCCTGTCACACCCCGAAACATTTTTTTAGGGCGGGCCGGGCGTTTCGCCTGAGACTTCCTCACCACTTATGACTCTGAAGCTTGAATATAGGGAACCGTTTCACATATGTAGAGCGGGTGGTTTTCAAAATGTGGCTCTCGCCTTAGCGCCGCGCGCATTCGTTTTCACAATTGGCAAGAGCTTCGCGGATTGAGGGCGGGCCACTTTCAAAATGTGGCTCTCGCTTTAGCGCTGCGCACATTGTTTTGAACAGTGCAAGATCTTCACGGATTTAGAGCGAGTGGCTGTCAAAATGTGGCTCTCGCCTTACCGCCGCGCACATTCGTTTAAACAAATTGCAAGAATTCAGGATTTAGGGCAGGTGGTTTTCAAAATGTGGCTATCGCTTTAGCGCCGCGCACATTCATTTTAAACATCTGCGAGAGTTTCACGGGCTGGGCTCTCGTCTTAGCGCCGCGCACATTCGTTGAAAAACCGCAAAAGTTTCACGGATTGGGGGCGGGTCGTTTTCAAAATGTGGCTCTCGCCTTAGCGCCGCGTACATTCGTTTGAACAAGTTGCAAAAGTTTCACTGATTGAAGGCAGTTCCTTTTCAAACTGTGGCTCTCGCCTTTAGCGCCGCGCACATTCGTTTTAAACATTCTCAAGGGTTTCATGGATGCCCATCATCAAATCAGAAATTGTGTTTTGGAAAGATTGAGGATTATGCGGGTGCAACAGTTACGTTGAATCTCTGCGTTGAAGTCCTGGGAATGGCGTTTTCGCACGATTCAGGATCGTCCAGACGCAACAGTCAGGTGATCCGTGGCGATGGAATCCCGAGAACAATGTCTTGGCATGCTTCAGGGTCTTCAAACGGGCGTTTTCTAACGAGGCAGTTCCATCAATGGACATGAACCGTTGCAGGGTCCTATGAAGAGGGAGCTTGGAGGGAAGTTTTACTCCAACATCGTCGATGACCCTTGGGTTTACACTGGTCCTCCTCCTCCTCCTCCTCCTCCTCCTCCTCCTGCACCCTCTCACGATACAGGGGGGGGATTACGGTGCTGTATGCTCTCACGGGCCGGCCCGTGGCTGGGCCCCGACATGGGCCGGGGGTGGTCGGGAGCAACCATGGCAGACCCTGCCGGGGCCGACCACCTCCTCCTCCTGCTCCTCCTTATCCCCCTTCTCCTCGTCCTCCTCCTCCTCCTCCTCCTCCTCCTCCTCCTCCTCCTTATCTCCCTCCTCCTCCTCCTCCTCCTCCTCGACTACTCAGTACAGCCACCGTGCTGCCACGAGGAACGCTCCACGGGGAACGCAGGGGCTTCTTTGGCCACGGCGGGCCTTGGCCACGAAGCGGCACCCACACCCAGCTCTAAGGCACGGCCCGGAACCCAGAGGAGGAGGAGGAGGAGGAGGAGGAGGAGGAGGAGGAGGAGGAGGAGGAGGAGGGGGAGGAGGAGAAGGAGGAGGAGGAGGGGAGGAGGGGGAGGAGGAGAAGGAGGAGGAGGAGGAGGAGGAGGAGGAGGAGGAGGGTGAGGAGGAGGAGGAGGAGCCCCCCTTGGGCCCAAATTGATCGTTGCTGCACCGCCTTGACGAGATCGCCGATCCAAGCCCGACTTCGGATCCAAAGAACATGGCATCTCTTGGGGTTCGAATGCTTGCTTCGGCCAGCCTGCGCGGCGAGACCGCCGGCTTCCGCCGGCGAAGCCGCGTTTTTTACTTCCGCCGGCTGCTGCCTCTGAGCCCCTCGAAGGCGACGACCCCTCTGGAAGGCCCCGTGTACGAATACAGTCAGGCAGTTCTGCTCAGCGTGTCACGGCGGCGGCCCGGGCGACACGCGATGCCTTCCAAGCCGGTAGCGGGTCGCTCCGCTCCGCGGGGCGGGAGGCTCGGAAAGGCTCGAGACGCTGATAGTGGGGGGCCAGGAAGTGGATGGCGTGTCGCACCGCAGCGTGGTGAGCCAGAATCGGCGGACCAACAAACTAAGCCAAAGTTCCCGACCGTCTACGACCTTCGGAGGGCCCGCTCGGTTGCTCCTGGACGGTCTGGCCCTTCGGATGGCTAAACCACCTCGGGGGCGGGCCACCGCTCTGCGCGGAGGCGACTCGCCTCACCCTGTCGCCCGCCCGCTCGCCACGATCCTCCAGCCCGGGGACGGATCCCGCCGAGAAGCACTGCGCAGCATCACGATTCAGAGCACAAGGGCCCACAGAACCCCGCTGCGGGGCAGGGGCCCGGTCGCCCTCGGGAGGGGGGGGGGAGGTGCGGAGGAGAGGAGCTGCAGGGATGGACGGCGCGGGCGAGAGGAGACTCGTGCCTGCCCCCCCTCCCTTGCTCGGGCGTCGCTGAAAGTGCCCCCGGCCCACGGTGACCCCCAGGATCTCCGCGGAGACACCATGGCCTCCAGAGCACCCCTAACGCGGGATGACGATTCATAAACAACATGGGAGGGAACGATTAAAAACATAGTTTCCTGCTATTTCTGCACAAGTTTCTGACTGGAGGGGAACGGTTAAAAACATAGTTTTCCAGCACGCGGCCGGTTTTTTCTAATCGTCATCCCGGGCGCCGCCGCGTGAACACGACCCCCGGTCATTTATTAATCGTAATCCTCCATTAATGAGGCCCAGGGGGGCCCCAAGGGCTCTAAAATGGAGCGGGAGGCAGGGGGCACCCTGGACTGGGGGGCACCTATAGCACACCCTTGACCCGGGAGAAGTGAGAGAACCACGGCGGCCGCTGCGGGGGCAGGGAGGTTAGCAACGGATGCTAAGAAGGGTCAGATCTGGCCTAACCTACTCTGGGTTTCTATATAGGCGTGGGGGGGCCCCCCCGACGGGGGTCAGCCTCGCCTCGTCGTCGCCCGCGACGGGGGTCGGAGCGCCTTCGGCGCGCGGTGGCTGCCCGCGACGGGGGTCGATGTGGGGCCGTCGGCGGGGGTGACGCCCCCCCGACGCTCATCAAGAAACTCGGAGTAACTTAGGAGTGGGCGACAAATGCCCTGAATGGTTTAGGAGGGTTGGATCACTCCGCGAAGTGGGCGGAGCCCACTTAGCACAGATCGCTGCGCGGTCCCTCCCCCGAGGAGGGAGTGGGCGGGGAGTCGCTTTGCGCGGCGGCGGCTGCCCTCGGCGGCCCGCGCCGGCGCACGCGCGCAAGGGGCGCTCAGAAGCTGCCCTTGGCGCCCGCCTGCGAAGGCGTTCCGGGACCTGGCAGATGCGGAGAGAGAGCGAGAGAGCGAGAGAGAGAGCGAGAGAGCGGGCTGGGCGGAGGCGAAGGGCCGCCTGCGCCGGCGGTGCGCGGAGCCTGGCACGTCAGTGCAGCCTCCAGAGCAGGGCGGTGGGACGAGAGATGCAGGATGAGGAGGACGGCGATGACGATGACGATGACGATAGCGACGAGGACGATGACGACGAGGAAGAGGAGGAGGAGGCGGAGGAGGAGGAGGAGGAGAAGGAGGAGGAGGAGGACGACGACGACTGCGAGGAGAGGAGGAAGAAGAGGAGGAGGAGGAAAAGGAAAAGAGGAGACGGGTGGGGGGAACGGGAGAGTAAAGACGGGAAACACCGCAGCCGTGTGACCGACGAGGAGCACACGACAGAGGCAAAGACCGCGGCAGGCAGCGCAACTGTGCAGTGCAAGCCGCGGGCGGAGACAAACCTAGGCCCCGCGAGTGCCCGTGGCGGACGCGCGAACCTCTCCCTGGGAGGGCAGTCCCCGCCACGGGCGCGAGAGAGGGGGGTACGTACTGGCACCCCTGTACCCCCTGGCACCGGTACCCCCAGTGCACGCAGGCGGTCCCCCCCCACCAACCCCGGTAATGGTACCCCCACGGTGCCCCCGGGAACGTACCACTGCCCCCCGAACCGGCACCCCCTGGTACCTGCACCATCTACCGGCACCCTCCAGTACCGGCGCCCCCGGGCACCCCCCAGTATACCGGTACCCCCCGGCCACCCCGGGGCGGGTACCGGCCGGCACTGGGGGGTGCCGTAGAAGCCCCCGGAGCCTGTTCAGGGCCCCGTGGGCCCAGGCACCAGCGGCATCCAGCGGCAGCCAGCGGCAGCGGCCAGCAGGAGTACCTGCGTGTCACAGCGGCCGGCGATGGTGCTCACGTGGAACGGCAGCGCGAGACGCCGCCGCCGTCATCGTCGTCGTCGCCGTCGTCGCCGCCTATTCCTCTTCCTCTTCCTCCTTTTCCTCCTCCCCCTCCTCATCCTCCTCCTCCTCCTCCTCCTCCTCCTCCTCCTCCTCCTCCTCCTCCTCCTCCTCCTCCTACTACTACTCACATCCTCCTCCTCCTGCTCCTCCTCCTGCTTCTCCTCCCTCCTCCTTCTCCTCCTCCTCCTCCTCCCTGCTCCTCCTGCTCCTCCTGTTCCTCCTCCTCGTGCTCCTCCTGCTCCTCTTGCTCCTCCTGTCCCTCCTCCTCCTCCTCCCCTCCTCCTCCTCCTCCTCCTCCTCCTCCTCCTTCCTCCTCCTCCTCCTCCTCCTCCCTCCTCCTCCTCCTCCGCCTTCCTGCTCCTCCTGCTCTCCTGCTTCCCCTGGTGCTCCTGCTGCTGCTCCTGTTGCTCCCTCCTCCTCCTCCTCCTCCTCCTCCTCCTCTTCTTCCTCCTCCTCCTCCTCCTCCTCCTCCTCCTCCTCCTCCTCCTCCATCTCCTCCAGCCGTTCTGGCTTCGGCGCTGGCCAGCGGCAGCGTCGGCGGGCGTACAGAGCGGCACGCCCGTCCGAGCCGCGGCTGCGCGCATGGAGGCGGCGGCTGCCCGATGCCCAGCAGGTGGGCGGAGGAGCCGCGACGCCCCAGCGCCTGGACCTGCGCAGTGGGGGAAGCCGCTGGCCCGCCTGCCGCAAGTCACGCGAACGCGAGCTGCGGGAGGCCTTCGAGGAGGAGCCCCAGACATGATCGCGTCGTAAACTTATCCTGGCGAAGGACCCAACCATAAGCAATTGTTCGTAACGCGTTGCGGGTGCCACTTTCGATGGGGCTCCCTATGGGGCCACGAAACGCTGCCTTGGGTGGGGGAACCGCATGCGAACTGCGCCACTGGGGCGGGCCTTCGGTGGAGCTCCCTATGGAGCCACGCAACGCTGCCCTGGGCGGGGGAACCGCATGCGAACTGCGCCACGGGGGCCTTCGGTGGAGCTCCCCATGGGGCCACGAAACGCTGCCCTGGGTGGGGGAACCGCATGCAAGTGAGGCTCCCTATGGGGCCACGAAACACTGCCTTGGGTGGGGGAACCGCATGCGAACTGCGCCATTGGGGCGGGCCTTCGGTGGAGCTCCCTATGGAGCCACGCAGCGCTGCCCTGGGCGGGGGAACCGCATGCGAACTGCGCCACGGGGGCCTTCGGTGGAGCTCCCTATGGGGCCACGAAGCGCTGCCCTGGGTGGGGGAACCGCATGCGAACTGCGCCACGGGGCCTTCGGTGGAGCCCCCTTATGTGGCCACGAAGCGCTGCCCTGGGCGGGGAGCTTTCCTCCCATATGCCCTGGGTGGGGGAACCGCATGCGAGAGCAACCACTGGGCCTTCGGTGGAGTTCCCTATGGGGCCACGAAACGCTGCCCTGGGTGGGGGAACCGCAGATGCCTTCGGTGGAGTTCCCTATGGGCCACGAAACGCTGCCACCGCATGCGAGAGCGCCACTGAGCCTTCGGTGGAGCTCCCTATGGGGCCACGAAGCGCTGCCCTGGGTGGGGGAACCGCATGCGAGAGCAGCCACTGGGGCCTTCGGTGGAGTTCCATATGGGGCCACGAAACGCTGCCCTGGGCGGGGGAACCGCATGCGAGAGCAGCCACTGGGGCCTTCGGTGGAGCTTCCTATGGGGCCACGAAGCGCTGCCCTGGGTGGGAGAACCGCATGCGAGAGCAGCCAGTGGGGCCTTCGGTGGAGCTCCCTATGGGGCCACGAAGCGCTGCCCTGGGTGGGGGAACCGCATGCGAACTGCGCCACGGGGGCCTTCGGTGGAGCCCCCTTATGTGGCCACGAAACGCTGCCCTGGGTGGGGGAACCGCATGCGAGAGCAACCACTGGGGCCTTCGGTGGAGCTCCCTATGGGGCTACGAGACGCTGCCCTGGGTGGGTGCAACGCAGGGACGAGGGGGAGGAGGGAGGAGCGGGAGGAGGAGGGCGAGGAGGTGGAGGAAGGAGGAAGGAGGAGGAAAGAGGAGGAAGGTGGGACGCGGGGTGCTGTCTCTTCAAAACGAGGACCCAACACCACAGGATGGTTGGGGAAATCAAGACGGGAGGTTTTTCTCAATTTTCGGCCTCGGGGGGCCCTCGCCGGGCCTCGGGACCGTCAAACAACGACTCAGGACGAGAAGCCGCTCCTGGGGAGAGGGCAGAGACTTCCAGGGACGCCGTCCTGAAAAATCAAGACGTTGCATGTCTGGGGCTGGAGAGGAGGGCAAGGTGGTCGGGCCCCTGGACGTTGAGCCGCACCGCACCCTTGCAAGGACCGTGAAGGAGGAAGCGGCCTCGTATAGAGATAATTTTTTTATTCCGGCCGGTAACGCTCGTTACCGGGGGGGGGGGGGTCGTGCCCCCCGGGTAACGGTAACGCTTGGGCTGGGCGGGGTATGGCGAAGCAGGGGCGCTCTGCGATCGCCATAGTATGCGCGCGAGCAGCACTCTCTGCCTGAGAGCACCACAGTGGCTTGCGATTCGAGTACAAGCGCAAAGCCCGCCGCGTGGTCCCGGCACCACGCCCGCGCCCGCGCGCGCGACGACGATGATCGACGAGCGACGAGCGACGAGGTCGACGACGACGACGACGACGTTTGCCGCCTGTTTCGGCCTCCGGAGGCCGTTTTCGGGCGCCGTCGACGACGACGACGACGACGACGACGACGACGACGACGACGACGACGACGACGACGACGATTCGAGTACAAGCGCAAAGCCCGCAAGCACCAGCATCGCGCATGCGAGCGCCGCAATGGCCTGCGAGCGCCCACAGTGCGCCTGCGACCACCACACCACAGTGCGCATGCCTTCGGGCACCAGCATGTTGGAGGGGAAGACCGAGACCCCCCCCGCGTACGAGCGTTACCGTTACGGGGGGGGGGGGGGGAAAGGCCCGGGTAACGAGCGTTACCCCCCAGAGGATAAAATTATCCTGGCGAAAGACCCAACCATAAGCAATTGTTGGTAACGCGTTGTGGGTGCCGCTTTCGGTGGGGCTCCATATGGGGCCACGAAGCGCTGCCTTGGATAGGGGGAACCGCATGCGGACTGCGCCACCGGGGCGGGCCTTCGGTGGAGCTCCCTATGGGGCTACGAAACGCTGCCCTGGGTGGGGGAACCGCATGCGAACTGCGCCACTGGGGCCTTCGGTGGAGCTCCCTATGGTGCCACGAAACGCTGCCCTGGGTGGGGGAAGCGCATGCGAACACCGCCACTGGGGGCCTTCGGTGGAGCTCCCTATGGGGCCACGAAGCGCTGCCCTGGGTGGGGGAACCGCATGCGAACACCCCCACTGGGGCCTTCGGTGGAGCTCCCTATGGGGCCACGAAACGCTGCCCTGGGTGGGGGAACCGCATGCGAACCCCCCACTGGGCCTTCGGTGGAGCTGGGGCCACGAAACCTGCCCTGGGTGGGGGAACCGCATGGACACCCCCACTGGGGCCTTCGGTGGAGCTCCCTATGGGGCCACGAAACGCTGCCCTGGGTGGGGGAACCGCATGTGGACACCCCCACTGGGGCCTTCGGTGGAGCTCCCTATGGGGCCACGAAACGCTGCCCTGGGTGGGGGAACCGCATGTGGAACACCCCCACTGGGGCCTTCGGTGGAGCTCCCTATGGGGCCACGAAACGCTGCCCTGGGTGGGGGAACCGCATGTGGACACCCCCACTGGGGCCTTCGGTGGAGCTCCCTATGGGGCTACGAAACGCTGCCCTGGGTGGGGGAACCGCATGCGAACCCCCACTGGGGCCTTCGGTGGAGCTCCCTATATGGGGCCACGAAACGCTGCCCTGGGTGGGGAACCGCATGCAAACACCCCCACTGGGGCCTTCGGTGGAGCTCCCTATGGGGCCACGAAACGCTGCCCTGGGTGGGGGAACCGCATGTGGACACCCCCACTGGGGCCTTCGGTGGAGCTCCCTATGGGGCCACGAAACGCTGCCCTGGGTGGGGGAACCGCATGTGGACACCCCCACTGGGGCCTTCGGTGGAGCTCCCTATGGGGCCACGAAACGCTGCCCTGGGTG